AAGACCATTTGCAAGTCTAACCTTATATTAACAAAAATAATGTAAGCATATATTTATTTTATAGTTGGTAATAAATAAATTTTTTATAATAAAAATATTTGATTGATCTTTTACCATATTATAATTATTTCAATTAAATTAATCTAAGATTATAACTTATTAAAAAAAATTAATTTTAATTTTATCGTATTAATTCCATAAATACAATAATGACTTAAATAATTATTTTTTTAAAAAAATTAACCGTTTTCGATCATAATACATCTAAAAAATAATAAATTTTACACTCGTAATTTTTAAATAAAAAATAAAAAAAATTGTTAATAATAATTAGCAAAATGATATGTAGGTACATATAAGTAATGCTTGCTAGTATTATATATAATATATATATATATATATATTATTTCATAATACCAACTATGACTTGGGCAACTTGAATTATTTAATAATCAATGGAGATTATTTACTTAATAGTTGGAACAAAAGGGGCATCCCAAATATGTTTTCTTTGACCAAGAACATATAATTTTGTAAATAAAATTGGAATTTTTAAAATAATCTCATATTAAAACCACTTTCAAATTAATTAAATATGAAAATACATAAGAATTATGTGGAAGCTGAGTCTATAAATACTTGTCCAATTCTAACCCTCATCACACACTGATAAACTCAACCCTTCTGACATATATATATATATGCATATATATATATATTACAGTTTTCTTTCTGAGATTTCATTTGATCTGATAATTTGGATTTAAAGGGTGAAATGGGTGTTTTCAGTTTTGAAACTGAAATTAGCACTGTGATTCCTCCAGGCAGGGTGTTCACTGCATTTGTGCTGGATTCAGACAGCCTGATTGCCAAGGTGTTGCCCAATTTGATCCAAAGTGTTGAAATAATTGAAGGTGACGGAGGGCCCGGGACAGTCAAGAAGATGACTTTCGGTGCAGGTATTTCTATGCCCTTTTTGTTAATTACGCGGTTACGTACATCGATCGTAACATAATTTTTTTTAACGAAAATCGAAATTCAGGGGACAAAATAAGTTACATGAAGAAGAGAATCGAAGCAATAGATAAAGAAAATATGATTTATAACTACAGTGTGATCGAAGGTGATTTGTTGACCGACAAATTTGAGAAAATCATTTACGAGACAAAGCTAGTAGCTTCTTCCGATGGAGGTTCGATCTTCAAGAGCATGGGCCATTACTACACTCTCGGAGATGCTCGAGTCGACGAAGATGAAATCAAGGCCGGTAACGAGAAGGGCTTAGGCATATTCAAGGCAATTGAAGCTTATCTCTTGGCTAACCCACACGAGTACAACTAGATTATTTCATTACTCTCTACTCTTGTAATATGTGGTTGTTCTCTTTTCTTATTACTATCTATCTATATACGCGATTATGTATCTATGTATGTGTTATTTAGTCGGATTTAAAAATAATTAAATAAAAAATACTGAAATGTAACGTTAAATTTCTTTTCATATTATAATAAAACTTCTACTATCGTGTTAAAGTATTATACAGTTTAAAAATTATGTTCAAATAATAAAATTTCGTGCTAGTTATAACAAACACGGAAGCACGTGCTCGATCAATTTGATACACGATTAATGTAAATACGTTATCGAGTTTTTTTTAATCAAATTAATTTAGAAAGTTTAGCATCCATACGATGATGTGTGGGTTCGGATTGCATGTTAATCTTCGGTTCCGCATCATTGCAAGAACATGAAATCAAGTTTGGCAAAGAAAGTTATTGAAGTTTACCTGTTAGCAAAGCCTTGATTCATAAAAGGCTAAAAGCAAAGTTGTGTGTCTGGTAAAAATAATAATAAGCTATAAGCTGACTTAATGGGTTAATGGCTTAAATTAAATTATATGGTATTTTCATGCTTCTTTCTTCAATTTTTTTCATAAATAAAAAGTCTTTTCTTTAATTTCTACTGTTAAATGATGGTTTAGACTGCAATAAACCAATCATTTTTCTTCTCAATATAATATAATATAATATATATATATATATATATAAAGAACAGAAGAAACAGAGGATCCTTGATGAAGCTAACTAGTATTACAACTATACATGTGTGTATATATATATATATATATATATATGTAAACTTTGAGGGGTCTTGTAAATGACACATCTAACCCTATTCTTCATCTTGATGATGGGTCTTATTTTGGGGTTCATTAGCTTTGTAATATGCTCCCAAACAGAATGTTCTGTAGAATAATTTCTTATATAATATAATATAATATAATATAATAGTGAGTTATCGCAATTACAATAATATAATACACTAATAAAATGGACGAATTTCATACTTTCAACGAGATAAGAACTTATAATATAACATCAAATTGATTTTTGAAATTTATAATAATTCGTGTTTTATATTTTTATATAAATTCAAGTACTTTGTTATAAAGATTAAACGTAGAAATATTTTTCGGTAGAGACACCATGATATAAACAAACCCAAAAATTAAAAAATTTGCAGAAGAGAGGATGCTCTGTTCTATCTCATCCAACTTTACATTATTGTTCTTTTGTGTTTATATGTTACACTAAAAAATTTTAATGTTAGGGTGTATAAGCTTAGGAAATCTCTCAAATCTTTGGAAAAATAGCCCTGAAAATGATATGTGACTTGAAATATATATATATATATATAGATAACCAAATTTGTAGAGGAAAACTCATCAATTCTAACCTATATAAGTACACCAATACCACATCAAGCCCTGTACCAATCCAAGAAAGGGCCATGGTTGTGTTTACTTATGCTGATGAGTTCACTTCCCCAGTCTCTCCAGCTAGGTTATTCAAAGCTTTGATTCTTGATGCTCGAAACCTCATTCCGAAAATCATCCCTTCAGTTGTTACGAGCATTGAGATTGTTGAAGGAGATGGTCTGTCGGCCGGAAGCATTAGGAAAATCAACTTCGTTGAAGGTAATCCTATTATTACGAATATAAACAATGTAATATTTACTAACTAGTTTCTCTATCGGTATTTTATTAATTATATGATACATATACATCGGTCATAATATAATTTTTTTAAGAAGATACACGAGAACGTACGCTTGATTCAAGCCCACAACCTAAGATAGAATGAAGAAAAAGGAATTGACAGTTATCCAGCCAATTAGTAAATGTTTCGTAGTAATCGATGAAAATTAGAAGGGTATTTATAGGAATGTTTTGCAGGAAGTGAAGTGAAGTGCGTGAAGAATCTAGTGGAGGAAGTGGATGAAGAGAATTTCATATATAGATACAGTATGATTGAAGGAGAAGCATTGATATTGGAGAAGGTTGGGAAGATAAGTTATGAGGTTAAGTTTGAAGAAAGAGCAGAGGGTGGGAGCTTAAATAAGATGACAAGCATATATTACACAAAGGGTGATGTTGTGTTGAGCCAAGAAGAAATTACAGCAGGCAAGGGAAAAGCTTTGGCTATCTATAAGATTGTTGAAGGTTACCTTCTTCAGAATCCTCATGCTTATGCTAATTAATATCTGATATTCTCAGTTTTTTTATGATTTTTTTTTTCGAGTACGATGTAATATATGTTAATCTTGCGTTAAACGAAAATCAAAACTTAAGTTTAGGGTAATTGCTGAAGTAAAATCCGTTGATTCTCTGTCTCTTGTAACTCAATAATAAGAACTTTTTACGAATTGAGAGTGGACGGAATAAATATCACGTAAATCAAACAAAGTTTTCAGTTTAAGAATTGAGGAAGAAGAAACAATATTCAACTTTTTTACCCACCAAGCTTCAAAAGCAATCAAATTTCTCAATAAGTACAGTTCATATCAAAAGGGTCTTCATCCAGTCAATTGAAGCACATATAGAATGAAAAAAACAAAATTTCCAGTTTAAGAATTGAGGAAGAAGAAACAATATTCAACTTTTTTACCCACCAAGCTTCAAAAGCAATCAAATTTCTGAACAAGTACAGTTCATACCAAAAGGGTGGTCTTCATCCAGTCAATTGAAGCACATATAGAATGAAAAGAAAAGAAGTCACCCATTGATCTGGAAGAAATTCTGAAGTTTAGAAGCTTTTTAAAAAAGAAAATGAGCAAGTGACATTTTTTTGGCAGTCAGTGGAAGATTAGGGAAAATAGTCAACATGGTCTAAACCCAAAAGAGGATTCAAAAAAGCTTTGAAAGTCTGGCTGTAATACACTTGTAATCCAAAGCTTTATAGGGTGGAATCTCCAGATAAGTATCGGTCCCTAATTAATCAGAGATTACTTGTTTGAACAGAACATTTGAAAGCTTAAAAAGCACCTTTTAAGCTGCTTATTCCTCACTTAAACTCATTTAGTTTAGTTTCTTACTTAAAAGCTATGCCTCTGCACTCGAGGGCCAATCTCCGTTCGATTCGAGGAAACCTTTGCACGCATTCTCGAGCCATTTAGTTCAAATTTACAATGAAAATTAGTAAAATTAGTAAGATTTATGTCGTTGGTAAAAACCGAGAAAAGTTTATGGAAGTAAAGAAAATAAATTACAGAAAGAAAAAAAAAAACCCTAAAAGGAATCAATCTCCATCAACCTTTATGACAGAAAAGAATGTTTTCCAACCCTAGAAAAATCATCTAAATATAAACAAAAACCTCTGTCTCTGTCATTTTTATTTGCTGTGATGATCATCTTTTCTTGTCACAGAAGGATTCTCCGGGAGTGGATATCCTTACACCTAAAAAAGCAACCTTTTTTTCCATCTTTTTCTCTTTGAAAGATGATATAAATTATTTCTCCTTTGTTATAATTCAATACAAAATTGTGTAGACACGTAGCTCTGTGGCCGAACTCAATAGAGTAAGTTATATTAAATCTTTGATTATCAGAAAAATACGCTAAACGGGTTCGACTGGATAAAAATTTTAAATTAGATCGGTGTTTGTTTGATTGCAACAAAATTAAATAACAATAGTGAAACTATAGTTTCGATTTTTCTATATGGGAGTATCTAATTATAAGACCGAATATCAAATTAGAATAGGAATTAACCCTAATAAAAACCCTTTTATCTTTTCGCACTAAAAATCTTTTTCAAGGTCGGTTTTGGAAATCCAAACAAACCACAAACACACACTTACTCAAGCAATAAGAGATTGGCCGTCCATCTCTAAAGCAAAAAATTCCCTGACTTGAACCCTTTTTTTTTCTTCCTCCATTTGTCCATTCAAAAACTCTGCCCCCTTTCTTTTTTGGTGTGAAAATGACTCGTCTTCTTAAAGGGTTGAGGAGATAGAAATACAGAGGAAAGGAAAAAAGATATTCTTTACATGTCCCGCACCCTTTTGCCTTTCCAATATTCTTTCCCCAATACCACAAATAAATGCCATCTATTGATTCTTCATTCCTACTGTCCATAATCTCCCTCAATTGCCTAAAATGGCTCCTCCGGAGTTAGAGGTATTACTCCTCCCCAGCCACAACATGATCGTGAACCGGCGTAAGCTGGAGAGTTTTGTTTTCCTTGTTCTAGAGTTCTAACTCATCTTTTTTTCTCTCATGACCAGAAGCCTCGGATCACGGAGATTCAAGTCCGAATGGACTGTAATGGGTGCGTGCAGAAGATTAAGAAAGCATTACATGGTATCAATGGTAAGCAAAATATCATGACTAGTGTTCTTTCATTTGTCATAAAATGAATTCATCAGTTGATGATTGAATTTGCTTTACCTGCACAGGTATATATGATCTTTATATTGACTTCCCTCAACAGAAGTTGACAATAATAGGGTGGGCAGATCCAGAGAAAATAGTTAAAGCAATTAGGAAAACTAGGAAGATTGCAACCATCTGTTCACATACCGAACAAACAGAAACTGCAGCTCAGGCTCCGCCAACAGAACAAGTACCTGAAAGTAGTCAACCAAAACCAGCACCTGAGGCAGCAAATCCTTCCCCAGCAGAACCTCCAGCAACTGAAGCAGCTCCTCCAGCTGAATCAGCCCCACCAGCAGAGCCACCCAAAGACCCGCCATCACCAAAAAAACCACTGCCTGAGTCAGCAGCTGCAGTACCAGCACCTGTTGCCACTGAAGCCAATACGGCCGGCCCCAGCCAGCCAACAAACCCCCATGCACCAAAAGATGTGGGAGAGGTTCATGTTATATACCATCACCCACCTGATTACAACTTAAGATATGGCTTTCATGAACCCAATCCTGGACACTGGAACAGATGCAGTACTGGTCAAGGCTACCTGCGAGAGCAATCATCTCAGCCACCTCAACCCATCTATGTGACTCACAGCTACAATACATACAAGCCGTCACCTTATGTCACTGAATATGAGCATGTCCCCGCACCAGCAAGACACACCCATTATAGTAGAATAGATCACTATAGTGAAGACTACCACAACAACAACAACAACAATGGCAATGGAAATATCACAGCAATGTTCAGTGATGAAAATCCAAATGCATGTACAATAATGTAAAAGGAAGGTCAGTATGAATACGAATGGGAGCAATGCCTTCAATACTAGAAACTTAATAAAAGAATAAATTAGAAAACTATAGAATCTGGAGGCACTTACATTGTCTAATGAGCATGTGAAAATGTTTGAGAGAATAATGAGATTCCCAGCTTGTGAGTGGGGGAGGAATCAATTCTTTGTACCAGTTTGAGAAGCCTAATACATATTACTTGCAGAATTAGATAATTAATTTCACAGTTCATTCCCTCTCCTTACCTCTTCTTGCCTTCTCCCAAACATGGCCCTTTGTGTCAAACACACTTCATGGAACAATTTCATCCTAACTAAGCATTCTGATAACAACTTTTTTACATGTATCATTTTTTAAAGATAGAAGGAGAAGAGAGGCTATGCAAACAAACAACACTTTTATCAAGATCAAGATAATTAAATTCCACTACAGCTGAAAATCATTGTGGTAACCGGCAAATCAGGAAATTTAGCATTTCACAAGCTTAGCAAACTATCACTTACTGAACAATCTATTTCATAACGTAAAAGCAGATTAAAATCCTTATGGAAACATTACCTTTAACATACAACTTCGCCAGGGAAATGGTCCAAAGGGTGGGTAGCACAAAACTCAAGAAAGTCAGGATATATTTACTAAACCTTAAAACCTAAGTGGCTCCCTAAACAATTATGCATTTTTCATCGTTCCTAGTAATCCTGATATACATGGGATTGCAAAAAATTCCTCAGCTACTCATCAACTAAACGAGAAACCAAATTAAACAGAGAAACAGGGATCATTCCTTGGCTATTGAAATGATCATTCCTCATTAAACAAGCACTTGATCTGACAAACAGAGATTTGATCAGAGTAAGTCAAAATGCTATTCACGAGTTTGCTTCAAATCTTCACATCTTCTATATCATAAATGAGCTGGAAGAATGGATTTGGGTTTTATTATAACCTTTTCACTTATTTAGATATCCAAAATAATTCATAATATTCTCCTTTAGTGTCCCAAATGTGAACATCATTAAAAACAATAAAAAGAAAATATTTGGGACTTAAATTCTGGGTTGTTAAGATCTGATTTATTCAACTCATTGAAAGTGCTTTCAACAACTATGACCTGATTGGCTTCTAAGTATGCATTTCATCTATAAACAAATGCCAGTGGCAGAATAAAGAATCTGCATATTTATCCAAAAAATATGGGACTTGAACAAATTGTTATAAATATATAGTATAATAGAAGTGGACTACCATAAAATATTACAAAAGATTAAGAACAAAAGGAAGAACCATTGTTAGACTACCAAAGCATCCATCAGAGTGCAAAGAGAAATATAAATTTCTTCTGAAAGGTTGAAGACACAATTTATAGAGAGGGAGAACGGAAGGATACAAAATTATAGACAAAGGAAAGGTTTCATGACACGGTTGCTGGGCTGTGCCTAGAAATATATTGCTTTCAGGTTAGAATTACCGCGCTTCCAGCAAAAATGAACTAAACCAACAAACTGGCACGCGTTGATGGACAGCCCATGCTAAATTGACCCTCCTCCTGTCCGTTAATCCACAATTATGGAACTTTTTAAGTGTGGAGTAGATTATCTGCAGTAATATAACCAACATCAGTAAGGGCTAAAAGTAAAGGAAAGGGACATTCTCTTTAAGGAAAAAGAATCTGTAAGTATTTATGAAAATCAATGAAAATAAGACTATCATCTTAGTAGTTTTCGACCATTGTACTTAATGAAAATAAAAAATACCATAAGGCATAAGTCATATATATCAAAATACATAAGTTAATTCTCAAATTTAAAATCATCACAAAAACAAGTATTGCAGAAGTAATGCATCAAGGAAAAACAATACTGATCGAACAAAGACAATTACCTACTGACATAAATATTGTTTAGTAATCATCGTCACTACTTATTTCTGATTCGCTCTCCTCAGAAGGAATTGCATCCATATCATCATTCTCATCTTCACTTGCATCAATTTGATCATCACGTGGAAGATTTTGAGTTATACTTTTTGCTCCTTTGTCAATCTGTCAGAAGATGATAGGAAAGAAACTGAAATCAGATATCAGCTTATATACAGAAGAATTAAGAGCAGTACCTTTGAGTTAATAACCTGAGCTGTTATAAGCTGCAAACGCCCTGATAATTGCAGTAAATGTTGAATAGCCACCCCTCTGGATTTGGTAATCTGGAAAAAGAAAAAGAATTATTTGCATCAGCTATGCAGCAATTAACAACAAATGTTGCCTTGTTTCCTGAAGACAACTTCCATGTCCTAGGTAATGCCCCAAAGTGAGACTGCAATTACCAATAAGAACCACTTAATAAAGTGACTAATACTGCTTCCCAGAAACTGGAAAAGGTACTGTAGTAAAATAAAGTTCGAATTATAACTCTGGTGCCACAGTATCTTACCTTAATTAAGGAACTAAGCATCTGATGGTTTTTTGGTTCCTGAGACATGATATATTGACTGTGATTCACCAATATGCTATAAATCCACGGAAGAATACGTTCTCCACTATATGACCTGATGATATAAATAAAAACTTCCCAATGAGTTAACCATAAACAAAGCACTGACTCTTGTACACATGAAAGGATGGTTTATGGCTATATAATCTTTTCTGACACGTGGCTACACTCCGCAAATATGAGAAAGCTTGTGCACCTCGTAGATTTTGTTTTTAGTATCTAGTTTTGTATAAGGTTGCAAACTAGCAATCCTTCAGTGCCTTGTGAATAGATTCTCTTCTTCTATTTTCTTTAAAACAAATTGACTATCCATAAATTTGACTCTATAATACATATATATATCTATGAAAAAATAAAGAAAGTCCATTAAAGGGAAAAGAAAAAAAAGAAAACTAGTATCAGACCTCGAATGCCACAGGGCCACCAATGTTTCCAGTGACTTGTACGCATCACTAGGTGCCATAGATTGAACAGCTGACCCTATCTGATGGGAAAGATTAATTAAGTCAGTGACCCAACAGAAATATATTTTTCTTTAATCAGAGAAAATCTAAAATCACATGCATCACTAAAACAAGCAACAAAATATTTTTATAGCCACAAAGAACGAACCTTCTTTTGTGGCATATTAGCTTCAAGATCAATATCCTTTATCATTGCAGAATCAAACAGGGAGGTTGACATTAGATCTTCACTCTGGAGTATTCCAAGTGACCTCAGCCTATTCTCCATGCAAAACATTTCAGAATCAGCTTCCATATCTACCGCATTATCTGCAAAATCCATAATTATCAATGCACAACCATCCTCAGAAAAATTCTCACAAAGCCTAGCATGCCAACCATATGACAGCAACTATAGCATAATACAGATTCATACAATAACATATATGATCATGACCTTTTCCTTCCTGGAACTTGGATGGCCGGTCCGCTGAAATGATTTTTACAATTTTCATGAAAATAGAAACTATTTGAACAATGAAAATATCCCTTGGAAGAAAGATCAATAATCTATACAAATTATCATGGGAAATGCCCCATATAAATGCATATGTCTTGTCCATATAGAAGTTAAGAATGACCACACCATAATTTCTATGACAAGCTATATAAATTATAAAATTAGAAACCAGGAAGTAAGTGCAAAGGAGAAAATTACCACTAACAGAAGAATGTGAACCATACCTTCATTTTTTCCATGTAATGCTTGCCTTTGATGGTCAACCAAATCATCCATCATCTGATCAGCAACGGCGGTCAAATCTTGATGTCTGCTGGTTTTTTCATGAAAATCAGCAACCTTCGGAATTGGAAGTAAGGCATCCTCCGCATCAGCACGGTCCAATGCAGTAACTGTTAAATATGATTTAAGTAATTAGCAATGCATGCACAACCAAAAATCCTAAGAAAATCAGAAAAATGTTTGGCACTAGCTCAAGCAACCTTCAATCAGAAGCATATAATTTAAGGCGAAAGAAATTCAACTGGAAGTTCAACATGAACATCAAAATAAAAAAAAATGCAAAACATGTTCAGAAATACAACCAAATAACATATATAATGTCTTCACTGCGAATTTTTTTTTTTTTATTTTTAACAAAAAGCATCAATTCCACTTAAGGTAAAATGATAACAGTCCACCATGATGTATCCAAGAAACTAGAAAGAAAAATGAATTTTTTTTTTGAAAGAAAAATGAATTTTTGTTATTGAAGGACATCTATGACAATAGGCTTCCATAAAGTTGTTCTGCCTAGTACCAGAAAAGAAATCCTGCGATCAACCATAAATACAAGATCTCAACAGATCTCCTGTTACACAATCAACTCAAACAATCATGGTACATACCTTTATTCTGTCCATCTACCCCTTTCTTGGAATTGATGACTGACTGACTCATTGGTAGAAGGACCCCATCCCGAGAGCTAGTCAACATCATATCTGTGCCAGAGTGCACTAATATCTTCTGAAAAGTTGGCTTCACAAGCAAACCACAAGCAATAAAGGCATGTATGGAGGCAAATTTGGCAACGCCTTGTAATTTTGCAGCAAAAATTGTAGGCGAGGAACCCTTCTGACTTTTGGAAAAGTCTTCATCAGATATTGAAACTTTTGCGGGCTTTGTTTTGCATAATTCATCAATACTCTGCCCATACCAAAAGTAACAAACACCAGTTTCCGAAATGGCCAAGACACATAGCCCAGCCTCATCAACTTGCCCATTATCAATGCACCAGCTATCCAGGAAAACAGCAGGATGCTCCATTGCAAGAACACAGCTAGCTGACTGCTCTTTTCCACCACCTATCTTCCATAATAAAACATACCTTTCCCGGGCAGCAGATGAGAGTACATACCTCCCATTTTCAGTGAAATTCATACAACGAACATCTCCCTATTAAGTGTTCAAGAACTGTTAAAAACAGAATCTCAAAAAGGTAACTCCATACGTACTAGATATATACTCATTTATTTATGAAAGAGGGACGCATGCAAAGAAATGTATATGCACTCACAGAATGGCCAGAAAACTTCTGTATCTTTTTGTGATCAGAACAATTGAAAATCTTCAGCTGTGCTGATGCAGTGGCTAACCTTTTCCCATCTGTCAGAACAGAACACATATCCAAGAGGAAGAAATATCAGCCAAAAGGACCAGAATGGTGGGGAGGGGGCTTCTATTATCAAATAAAGAACATGTTCCTGAATATTGAATCTTGCATAAGCTATGCAATTTCTTTTTTGAGAAGAAATATATTCGAACCACCAAGGGGTGCAATCCGTATACAAAATTCGTTAGAAGTCTAATGCATCAATAATGTACCAAGATCCTCACACTACAATTCAGAGGTTGACCCCTAACTAAAGAACTTAAGGCCTGAACCAATCATCTTTAAATCTGTCACATCACCAAGAGGGCCTCCAAAATCCATCTCTCACAGTAGAACACATATCCAATGGGAAATATCAACCAGAAGGACCAGAAGGGTTGTTATGCAATTTAATCTTTGATCTTGGGATAAGCATTGAAAACATGCCCAGATAGCCAAATGCCATCATTCCTTCACCCCCGGCGAAAGAAGACGAGCAAAAATGCCATGGATCCAGTGAAGAAAAAAAATATTTGAACATCTTTTCCTTTTAATTGGACAGGAAATATTACATCCTCACAGCTCTAAGTCCATTCATCTCCAGCAACTCAATTCCCAAACTTGATAATTTTTAGTTCAAGTTTTCGTTATTTTAGCCCTGCAGCATGGCATCCTGACCCTCATTGAAACCAAGTTATTTTTTCAGGCTACCAATCCACAATTAATTTACGAAGAAAAATGAATTTGCTGCTCTAGAATTATGAGGTACAAGTTCAACAAAGTCAGCCAAGGGTAAGCACCTGATGAAAGAGAGATACAAGAAATTGCCTTTGCAGAAGCTCTGAATTTCCCCAAGAGGTTTCCAGCGTAGGGGTCAATCTTACAGATCATCCCATCAGCACCAGCAGTATAAATGTATGAACCACCCGTAGAAAATGAAACTGAATTGACACCACTGCATATGAGAAAAAGAGGGTGATGACGGATTCTTTTGGTATTGAGAATTTGAAAGAAAGACGCACCAAACGACAGGGAAAGGACAGTTCATGGCAGACAGTTGGATAATATTATTGGAAAGCTAAGCTTATCAGAAGAAACATGAACAAAAACCAAGGATAAACTCGTGTTACCATGTTAAAGGTGTTTTGACAGTCAGTTAGAAATTTTGACAATGAATTCTTTTTGGTAGACAAAAATTTCTTCTTTTAGTAGAAAAATTCAGGATCAAGCTTTGGCATGCCTCTGGGAAGAATCTACCAAGTTAATAATGTGTCCAAAATTTTAATCCTCTCACAAAACAAGTAAGAAAACCTACTTAGTTCAGAATCGAAACTGAATGTTAAAATGACATACATATAAATATATATGATAAACTTTCCTTTATGATTGATATTGACAACAGGCAGGCAATGTTTTAGCAGGAACTAACCCAGGATGGCAATCGCTAACCCTCCACTTTAATTGACCAACAGCCACATCAAGTGCTAAGACATCACCGCCACCTGTTCCTAATACCAGTAATGAACTTCCAAGCTTCCTTTTCTTCTGTAAAGATTGACATTTTTGGTCCAAAAAAGCTTCTTCAGAATATGAATGTATAACTTTTAGTCTACTACTGAAATAATCATCTTTATTTCATGCATTTATGTATTTAATAAACAAATAGTGAACCTTTTTGTCTAAAGACAACCATTTCATGCATTTATAATCAACTGAAAGATGTCCTCTTCCTGCTTTAGTATACGTCTCGGAAGCTTCAGTTGATGTCAAATCAGCAAATTCAGTCTGGACTTGGCCCTTCAATGTGTCCCATACCTACACAGCAGAAATAAAACCAGCCATTGTTCAAAGCAAAAAGAATCACAAAGAAGCAAATATATATAGAAAGGGAACCTGAAATTTAAGTAAAAGACGCACATATAATCAAAACATTCAGATACCTTAATTCTACCATCTCCAGTACTGATGGCAAGATAATCCAGAGCGGGACTAAAGCATGTCAGTATATCTCTAATATTGGAAGACCCCATCATATCCTGAAAACATCAAAGGCATAACAAAGCATAAAAATTCTTCCAATAATACATTGTTCAGAATACTGAATCGGGAAACCTCAACTCCATATCAATATCTTATTCACAAACAAACCCTTTACGAAAACAGTATCATATGCACAAATTTGAGACGTTTCAATAAACCCTCCTTAAACCCCATGAAACCAGTTAATTACGAGCATAGCAATGACTAGTCCATAAGCCGGTTTTCCAATACCAGGCGCCCAACAGTTTCTGTACGGTCAGAAAAGTTTTCCAAAGAGCATCTACGGAAGAGCCATTTAGGCTGAGACCAATTACATATAATTATAGCAAGATAATGGAATATACGTACTTAGCTGCCGTAAAAGTATCAGTTTATATGAAAACTAAGGTTTGATTTTCTTCTGTCGAGTATGAAACTTTTAAAACAGAACTTACAGAGCTGAGAAGAAGAGAGACGGAGCCGGCGGTGGGCAGGGAAGAAGCAAGTCGGAACGGTGGCGCTCTTGGAGTCTTGGGGTTTAGGGCGTTTTCTGTTTTTATTTTCTGCAGCTTAGCAAGTTGGGCTTCGCACGGCCCACTGCATTTAACAAATTTAAATTTATTATTTTTAAGAAGCAATAATTTGTTTATAATAAATATAAATATTCAATTATAGATATTAAATTATAGTTAAATATGCGTTCCATATGTGATTAAACAATATAACAATATAAAATTATTATTTTAAATTTATTTTATTATTTAAAATAATAAGTTAATTATTTTTAATAATCAATTAATTAAGAATTTTTATGCAAAAATTTTAAAAAAATTATAATTACCTATTTAAACTTTTAAATATAAAAATAAAATTAATTTATAATCGATTATAAATTATTTGATGACATATATAATAATTATTTATATAATTTTTTTAAATACAAATAAAATTTTATTTTTAATTAATTATAACACATGTACTATATAATTAGTTTCTAATATTAGTTTATATAATAGAAATAATTTTTTTAAAAAAATATAAGAATAATTAAAATTATGTATCTATATATGTTATGCAAATAAAGAGTTAAAAATATAATTTATTTTATAAAAAAGATTAATCATTATTTTCTGTGGAGAATACACTAAATTATAATTGAATTTGATATATTAAGTTTAAATTATTTAATATATAATTCGATATATTTATTTCAGGATCTGTGAATCTGTATTTCCAAGAGTTAATGGAGAAGATAAAGAAAATAGAAAGCTAAAATCTTAAAAATTCAGAAAACAAAAGAACTTATTAATCCATTCAATCTTCACTAAGTAAAAATCTACTGATTATTCCAATCGAAGAACTCGAATAAATATAAAAAAAAAGCTTTACAATGGAAATCTGAAACAACCAATCCATATAAACATGAAAGGAATTCAATTTCTTAAAATACCCAAATGCAGAAGATACCAAAAGTTCCCAAATTTTCTTGCTTGCTTGCTTCATTGCTTATGCCACCATCACTACCAAAACTTTCCTTACACATGAATCAAGAAATGAGGCTGTACAAATAATAATCTGCAGGCTGCTGCAATCAAACGAACCAAAGGGAGGAAAGAAACAAGAATTCTAGACACGGGTTTTATTGAAAAGAATCTGACCTACTTGTGAAATGGTAAGAATGGCATGAGATTTTCAACTTTTTCTTCTTCCACAATTTCATCATGATCTGAGAAGAAACAGTCATGAAACTGTGGCTGTCCCGGTATAGTTCAGGATGGAAAGGAAGGGCAAGGATGACTTTGAATATGAACTCTCGAGATCAGGGCATGGTTCAGGGGAGACAGACTCTGAGAAGCCAGAAACGTAGGAGCATATCCAAGAAATGGAGGTGCCAGAAGTGATTGATAAGGAGATGTTTGATAGATGTATAGAAGTGAAAGGAGATTCTTCAATTCCTGTCAAGTTCCCTGCGAGTGTAATATTCGTGCCAATCATGTTCTGCAACGTGATGTGATCCAAAACAGGGAGAGCATCGGGATCAAATTTATCATCTGGGTGGGACCCAGAATTACCATTGGCCACGATCGCAGTAACAATGTTTTCCAATTCGGCATTTGATATGATGATCTGTTTAACGTAGCCACCTCTGCCTCTTGTTGTCCTGAACTCAATTCCAGTTGGTGAGTTGTAGAGGTGGACCTGGTGTACTTCTACATTAGAAATACCACCAGACATTTCACTGCCAAATGCAATGGATGAACCGGAAGATGACCGGAGGTGGAGCCTTCTGATGTGCACATTTGTGGTGGGTCTACCATAAGCAATGCCATATTCATCCCAACCACTCTTGAGGGAAATGGCATCATGACCAATGCTAATGCTGGAATCCTCTATGCATACATGATCTGAAGAATCTGAAACAAAAGAACCCCACAGATCTTCAAATAAATATGACTTTCCAAAACCATTATGCATGTACGTAGCCCACATATTATGGCATCGAATTTGAAAAGTAGGGACAGCATCAGGACAGATTTAAATTAAAAGGACAATTCAAATTACGTAAAAAGAATGAAGAACAGTTCAAATTTCTATGTTCAACATGAAACTTCTCAGTCCTCTGTAATTACTTTAGCAGTTTTCAAGATTCAAAGTCTAACCCACCTTCTTCAGAAAGCATCAAGCATAAACAACATTCTAAGTGGCTTTTAATGTGTTTTGTTCAATTCTTGTTCATTAGTCAATTATATATTCCAATCTTCATATTAGCATAATTTGTATAACTAGAGTATAATTTGTTGTGCTTAATTTATGATCACCACCATCTTAAATCTTATGATGGTGGAAATTCAGCTCCAATTCTAAAGCTAAGAATTAGATTCATACTAAAAAATTTCAGGGTTATAATAATCCAAAAACAGTAAGTTTTGTTATAATTATGAATGTTAAAAGACATAAACAAATACTAAAAATAAGAATTTACTTTGAACTAAACAAAATAGAATTTAAGGGTGCAATTTAAAATAAACAAGAAGCAGAATGCCCCATTTTGGGGGAGGAGCAAAATGAAGAGAAGAAGGAGAGGGTACGAGAGACAATTTGCCCTCACAGTAAATTATTAAGTTTCCCCCTCGAACTATTTCTCTTCAGTCTCAATTAAAGTTTTCTGTGAGGACCAAATAACCCCACCTTTCCTTCATTCCCCGCATCCCAGACAAACCCAGAGATACCAGACAGCATGTAAATAAAAATAACTTCATAGGATGCTAATTGGAGACACCAAGACTAATTCTCCTTGTCTTTAAAGCGACAAATATGTAGTAAGAAATTTTGCAGCTAAGAAAATGGACCAAACAGCTTATACTAGAGTCAACTCTGGCATCCGGGTATGAAAAAATTCTGCCTTGTAGACTTCAGACAATTACTAAATAACCAATAGGAAGGAACTTCGTTGAGAAAGCACCAGCTTTCAATTTTGGCATATCATAAATCATAGGCCTCTAGGGAATTTTTAAGTAAAAATTTTGTATTTACTGTTAACCCATAAAGACAAAACTAGTTTAGTTCATTACTGATATGCAGAAAGAAAATGAAAAATTAACAAATACAACCAATCAATGACATACCTGGAACAATACCAACAGTATACGGAGATTCTGGAGGAGCATAGATCGATACATTCTCAACATGTACATTACTGCATCCAGCAATTTGAAATTCAGATTAATAACCAAACAAGCACCAGTGCTTTAAGGTATAAATTGGCACAAAAGTATTTACGTACCTACAGTAGACCGGATGGATATTATATGCAGGTGCATTCAAGAAAGTAAGATTTGAGACTACTATATTTTCAGACAAGGTGAACTCGACAAGATGAGGCCGGCTGTAGTTTAAGGAATGAGAATTGAACCAGTCCCACCAAATAGAGCCTTGTCCGTCAATGGTTCCATTATCACCTAATGCAATATACACACACAATACATATATATAAGATATCTGAGTATATGAGATAATCAAAAATGACATAAGCAAATCAATATACCAGTTACTACAACATCACGTAACATGTAGCCACTGATCAGACTCTGATATCTGGGTCCAGGGAGCTCAATGCCTCGGCCATATGATGGTAAGGGTTCAATAACCTCCCAATGAGATGGATTCTTGAAAACAAACAAGAAAATTCACATTTACTGGACACGAAAAATACCTGAAGGTACAAAAAGAAAGACCAAACTGGAGGAGGGCATCCAAATTAGAATACCTGAGATCCAAAGATGACAGCACCTCTAGCCAAAAACAGTGTAAGGTGACTGGTCAGGTTGAAACTTCCGGTGAGCCAGCGCCCAGGGGGCACGTAGAGCTGGGCCCCGCCCTTGTCAGCGAAGGATTTGAGATAGAAAATGGCATTTTGAAAGGCAAGAGTATTCAGTGTTTTGCCATCTCCAACAGCACCAAACTCCAAAATTGACACACTATGTGGTCTTGGTTCTATTTTAAACTTATAATCACATTGTCTGTTTCCCCCTTCTCCATTCACTTTAAAAACAGTATTGCTCAATGCCAGCAGCAAGAAAAATGCTACCTGCAAATACATACAAGTGGAAAATAGAGATAATTAAGAAACCCAAGTTTCATTTTCTTTTTCCTATCTAAACGGCTGGGAAGTTAAGTGAGAACTAACATAGCCAATCAACGCCTAAGTAATTTTCAGTTTGAGTCAAGGGACTCTGTCTCTGCAGCCCTAATCCAAGCTAGGACTCGTATGATGCACTCGGGTTCATTCTTAAAGAGAATTAACTCATATAACCAAGTTGCAGATGAGAACCAAGAATCTCAAACAAAATACTCAAACCCATTAGCCAGAACAAGTAAATCCAAACACCCAGCAGAGTAATTGCACGAGTTTCTCAAAATCATCAGAGAAATCTACCCATACCCAATCTGCAGATCATTAGTTCACCCACTAGAATCAAACAATTCCCCCTCGTGAATTAATCAATCAAAGATTGGGGAAAAAAAAAAAGAAGAACCAAATCAAATCAAACTAGTGAAAAAAAAAACCCAGAAAAGAATACGTACTTACTGGCATCTTCATGTTTCACTGGCCTCAGCAGCAACAGCCGACGAGAAAAGAACCGACGAGAGAGCTGCTTATGCGGTCAGACACTGCAACATAGAATAAGAAAGGAGGAAGAAGAAGAAGAAGAAGAAGAAGACCGAGCGAGAGAAACAGCGCAGCTTTTGTGTAAGTATATGTGTATTATTATGGGCATTAATCATCATGATATATAAATAAATGACAAAAAAATTTATTGGGTACTGAAATAGGGAGGAAAATGGAAAATAGTGACAGCTTTCCATGAACAGAAGAGAAAGCAAATGAGACATGGCAAGTGCGAAGAGAATAATAATTAATTATGAGTAATTGGTGATTTACCCTCTAAACGACTATAATTAGTAACGTCTCTCGCCGACAAATCAGTTTCAAAAGGCCCTCCATCTCCATTTCCAAATTGCCTGCTCTGTGAAGTCTGTCTGTAAGTAACTCTCCTTTTGTTTCTTTTAACTTTTAACTATATTTTTTTTATTTAACAAAAATTCCACTTAAAATTAATAAATTTTATAATAATAAATGCAAAATATATATAATATTTTTAAATAAATAAAAAATAATCTTAACCGATATTTTTAAAAAAAAATTAAAAAATATTATCGAAATACTTATGAAAAAATTTCCAATAAAATTATTCAGTTTATAAGATTTTTATTTTTTATATATTACAAAAAAATTCGTCTTGTAATTTCTTGAAAATATTAAACTTGGAAAATCTTATAAATGATCCAATTTAATTTAAAATTTGGAAAAGAAAATAATTGGAAACGACAAAACAAATTATTAATAATTATCATTAGCGGCAGAGAATTAATGACTGTTTTTAATTCATGATTAGCGTGGGGAATTAATGTTCAAATCAGGACACGTGGAGAGATACGTAGGTAGTACGGATATTTGGTGAACCCGGGGGGTTGAATATGGAATAAACCGGGGGGAGGGGGGGGAAGAGAGAGAAAATGCATGGAGTGTTTTTGAGAGACCGCATGTGGGTTGACAGGGCAGATGATGGGGTGGTGGGTCCCACAATCAATCATGGCGGAGCTGCTAACCTGGCGTCAATCACTTGACAGAACATAGCACAACACAGACGTTGACACGTAAGCAAGAGAAAAAAAAAAGAAATTCAATTGAACCGTGAGTCAAGGAGAAATTATTTATTAAATAATAATAATAATTCATTTAATTTACATTTTTTTATTCATTTTTAAATATTAATTAATTATAAAATATTTATATTTTTTTACCAATAATTTAATAATTTTTTGAATAATTAAATATTTATAGCCACAATTTATTTGTTTGCTTATTAGACTAATACACGTTTCTCGGTGACACGTCAGCATGTTTGGAGGGTATTTTGGGGATTTTTATAAAATAATATACAATCAATATCCAATCTCATATATGTATATATATATTATATGAGCATTAAGCACTTAGCTGGAATTAGAAGAAAATTCGTGACTTATGAGCTGTGTGTTTAATTTTTATTGAAGAAAAATTAATCAATCAATCATCTGATTTTTTTAATTATGGAAAATTATAAATTAAAAATATATATATATACAGCTGTCTCGTACAAAAAATATGCTTATAACCTTTAATTTTATTGCTTAGAATATAGAATTTCATTATAATTTTATTTATATATTCGTAAAATAAATTTTATTGAATCAAATATTATAAATCGATTATTATTGATCTTACTATTCGAACATATCGAATTACGCGTAAATTATAATTGACAAACTCTCGTACTAGACAAAACTAAATTATAGCCTGCAATCCAAACAAAAGTCTTTATAGAATCCAGTTGAAAATTCATGATTAGATTATACTTTAATAAATTCAAATTTTATATATGATTTTAATTTCATTATGCGTAACTCAAAATAAAAAATTATGTCGCTTTCTAATATAATCAATTACCGGTAAATTTCTAAGTAAATTTCACATCAACAATTCGATTTCTTCTATTCGGGGTCTTACTTCGATCGATGGATTATGAATTTTTCAAATACGATAAGATTTCGTTTACGTTTAACTACAAAAATTCCAATAATTCAATTTTCATAACTAAGAAAATTCAAAAAGAAACGATCTCAATCTTATTCTATATCTCTTGTTTTTATTTATTTTCTTTTTTCTTTTGAAATAAGTTTGGAATACTTCTCTGTATTGTCTTCCACGAGTATGCCAATCGAAACGAAAACATCATTATCGGATTCGTGTAAATATAAATTTTCGTATCTGTAAACATATATTCTCGTACTATTAAAATATCAAAGTAATGTACTTAACATACCGTGACTATTCTAAATAAGATAATTTGATAATTATTTATTTATTTATTTAAATACACGCATAATGGTTCGATAAGACGAAACTCAACTTGATCGTTACGCGTAACGCAATTATTAAAACGATATTACAGCGATATTTTATCGAAAAGAAAGCACGAAGATTTAATGATGTGGAATAAGACTCGAGGTTAATGTTCGAAAGGGTGGCCTAACTTTGGCTCATTCTTTGGATACTTCTCTTATATCACTTTCTTTTTTTTTTGGTGTGTAGCCCCACACCGCAGCCCGTAACATGTACACAACTTTCCCAATGTTGAATTAATAATTTTGAGAGACTCTGCTTTTTTTTTGTTTGTGGGTGAATTATAGATTGCTTAAAAGTAATAGTGGCATTCCCATTCTTAATAAAACCAATACCCACGCCCCCCTTATTCCTATATATATATATATATATATATATATATATATAATTTTAGTCGTGTTCATCACTTGGACTCAAGTATTCCATATGTATATATATATATATATATATATATAAGTATAACCCAACAAAGCTAAGTTGTGTAGAATACACAATCATCAAAATGGGAATGGAGCAAGTTTGTGTTTCTACTCTTCTTTTGAAATTTTGTCTCGATTGAAGGTTGGATTTTTGGTGTTGGGTGTTTATAATGAATGATTAGGTAATGTATTAGGGAGAATTATATTTAAAAAAAATAGAATTTATACCCTATATATATATATATAAATACATATTTGGGTTTTTATTCGAAACCAACTCGAATTCTATCAATTTAGTAATTAATGTTTTATGAGATAGAAAATAAGTGTTATCTTAAAAGATTAAACTTCTATTAATTAAAGCAAAAATCGCTTTAGCTACCACAGTATTTGAGTCGATTCGTGTATTTTTCATTTATGAAGATGTTGGTTATTACAGTTGATAAAATATACAGTACAATTAAGAATTCTTTGTAACGTAGTTCTAAAAATTATATTGATGCGTATCTAATATATTAAAATATAATTTATTTATGAAAGAGTGCAAGTGATTTAAGGGTACGTGACATCGAATAAATAAATACAGTCTTACCTAATAAGTAGATTATATAGATTTGGTAATGTTATGAGCTGTTAAAAATGAAAAAATATTTTTGAAATTCATATATATTATAAATATAATTTTCTTTAAAGTGAGAGAATTTTACGGGATCATTGCGTTTATAGGAATACATAATTATAAATAATTAAACAAATTTGTATCTAGTTTTAAAAGTCGAGATTACTCTGAATTGTGTTTAGAAATATAGTTAAAATCGACTTTTTGAATTGTACACATATGAGTGAGATAGTGTGGTATATTTACTAAGTTAGTGTAGCTCATTCCTTACTTAGTCATTTCAGATAAGCAGGACTTAGTTTCCGAGCCCGTTCCGCAAGAAGACGGCGAGTAGAAGCCCAAAGATTGATTAGTTTTCCCTATAGTATTAATTCATAGTATTTTATTTAGTTAGTTTATTCTTTCATATATTTAATACGTTTTGATTATTGTGTAAATGATGTTAATCATAATCTATTTTATTTCGCTTCCGCACTTATAATAAATATATATATTTTCTTTAAATTTCCGGGATCGTTACAGTATTTGAGTCGATTCCTATATTTTTCATATATGAAGACGTTGGTTATTACAGTTGATAAAATACACAGTACAATTAAGAATTCTTTATAACGTAGCTCTAAAAATCATATGGATGCGTACCTAATATATTAAAATATAATTTATTTATGAAAGAGTGCAAGTGATTTAAGGGTACGTGACATCGGATAAATAAATACAGTCTTACCTAATAAGTAGTAGATTATATAAGTTTGGTAATGTTAGGAGCCGTTATAGTGGAAAAATTATTTGTAAAATTCATATATATGATAAATATAAATTTCTTTAAAGCGAAAGAATTTTACGGGATCATTGCGTTTCTAGAAATACATAATTATAAATAATTAAAAAAATTTTGTACATAGTTTTAAAAGTCGAGATTGCTTCGAATTGTGTTCGGAAATAAAGTCAAACTCGACTTTTTTGAATTGTACACAGTATTAATAATAATAGTTTTCATAATAAAATTTATAAAATCTATCATTTATCAACTATTATAATTTATTATTTATGATAATGATAAAACAATACTATATTTAGACTCGGTTCAAATTTTATTACATTATTAGTATTTTATAATTTACTATAAGAATTTGAATCTTGATATTTAAAACAATAAATTATATTTACTACGTAAATTTGTACATAACAAATTGTATATATTAGGTGCAAGTATACACATACATATATATATATATATACGTGTATGATATGTATTGGTAGATGGGCATACGAAAAGAGCATAGGGCGATATGGGATGATTTGCATATTGGTAATATATATATATATACACATATATATATATATATATTGGAATAAAGAGCCTTGTGCTCAAATAAGAACAAAGGTTTGAAGATTTAAGCAGTCACCTTTTTCTACACAGTGATGGAGAACATGCCCATCTAACTTTGCCTTTCAAAACAACCAAATAATTATTGTCAAACCACACCACCTAATTCCAATAATTTAGTTACCATTTCTCAATATTTACAAAAAAAAATACACATGTATTTACTAGTTAAATAATATATATACACACACACGAAATATATTTAAAAAAATTATACCATTTATTAGAATTTTCTTTATAATTTTAATTATTAATAATCAATATAATAATAATAATAATAATAATAACTATGTTATGCCTATACTTTTATGAGTCGTTAGTAAATTAAATTCTTATATATATTAATAATGTAATTAAATTTTTTTAATAAATAAAAATATTAGATCGAACTTTTTACTTATTATAATTATTTTAGTATAAATATTTAATTATTACGAAATATTCGACGTGAAAAATTTCATTATGTAAAAGTCTTTTAATTAGAATATAACGTAATATATTTTTATAAAAAAGAAATTTAGAAATTGTGTACGCCATCTCATGGATAAAATATTTAAATTAAAGCAGTATAAATTGAAAATTAACATTTTAATAAATTTGATATTTCTAATTTGACCCCTTAATTATTTTTAATAAAAATTTGACCCCTCACAATTTTTATAAATAATAAAAAACAACGTGGTCTAAAGTTTTATTAATAGGCCCAAACGTAAATTTGTGGAGGCCCAAAGTAATATTTAAGCTTTTTTATTTTTTTAAAAATTAATAAATTGACAACTAACCTAAATTCCTGAAACCCAAGAGTGGCGCACCCCGGGTACCAGAAACCTGAGTTACAGTCGCCAACTCAAGCTTTTTTCTCCGTCGCACGCACGTACCACCACCGCGCCACGATTCCGAGTCGCACCGGCAGCGTCGCTCCTACTCTCCGACGGTTATCTTCGTATCTCTGTTTGACAGGTGATTCTCTTTCACTTTCACATGTGTTTCTGAAACCATTCCATTAGCCTCTCCGCCACTGTTTGCTGTGAGTTTATCGGGATGTAGGATTATTTAGATTCTTGTTGAGAATTTATTAGTCGAGTTGTTAATTGTTAATTGCGAGTGAAGTTCGTATCTGTTTGTAAGCTAAGAATTTGGGAAGGGAGTGAGCGAAAAAAACTCAAGAGGAAGATGGAAAGGAATACTGTGGAATTGTATACAACCCTGGAGCTTCCTTAGGTGGCACAGCTACATGCATTTCGCTTATTGTACAGTATCTTCACATCTGTTGTTGTTCTGTCTTAGCGGGAGTATCTGTGATTATTGCTCAGTGAGTTCATAGCTCAGTTAGGTATGCAACTAGGATTCCTGGATATGTTATTTTACCAGATAATCATGGCATGCATGACATGTAGGTAATTTTTATTTGCGTATATCAGATGCCATGTGTTAGATGGAGGTCGTTGTATCTATCGTATCTCTTTTATCCGTGCTCTTGCAGTTTGGCTAGTCCTAAGTCAGTATTGCTGCCTTTTCTAAAAGTGACTTTCCCGAGGAGCAAAGAAAATGCAACTATAGATTATCTTTCAACAGAATAAAATGTTTTCAGATACATATGCATTTATATATTTATGCCTATGTATATACACATATGTTAATGAAGTGAGCGCGACAAGCTTAATTATTTTTAATTGCAAGCTAAGTAGGGTACAATGAAGAAGTAGCTGGTACAATCCAGTTGTGGAACAGTGAATATCAAATCGTCAATTTATGATAGTTTTATAGGGAAAATAGTAGAATTCTTTTACAATTGATTTCAAATACCAATACACGATGAGGAATGGGAGTAGCTTTGCTACTTTTTTTGAGCTTTGATATTCTTTTGGATTTGAGTATGTTGTAAGGATATTAAATTTGATTATATATATATATTTTTGAAATAATCAATTTGATACACACACACACACACACACACACACATACACTTGTACATCTTTTGCGTGAGATAAACTTCTGAAAGAGATTTTGTGCCATTATTGTATTTGTTGTAAATCTAAAATTCAGTTAAAACCAAAGCCAACCAATTTAATTCACATTGGTCATTTTGGTTATTTAGTAATTTGGTTTGGGTTTTTTGTTTTTAGATAATTTGGTGGCCTTAACTTGAAAGGACAGAAATTAGTGATAGAGAGGAACTTGAACTAAGCTCCAATGGTGGCCAAGGACCAAACATCCAAAAAGAGGAAGCATAACTCAGGTTCCAAAGCCAAACCGAGTATCTCCAAGAAGTCAAAGCTTGGCTTCTCAAAACCTCCCAATCCTCAATTGCAACAGCAACAGCATCAACATAAACAAAGACAACCTCTTAAATCAAAATTTCAGAAATCAGAAGCTTCACAAGAAAAGGTGCCCAAAACAAAGAGAGAGCAACGTCTCCATGCCAAGGTGGATTTATCATTGCTACTAACTATATATCTACCTTCTCTGAAAAAAAAAGTTATATTTGCAAATAGTGTATTTATGTTTTATAATAGCTGTATTTATGTTTTTTGTTATTTAAAAAAATAGTTTATTTATGTTTTCTAATAGTTGTATATTGGTATATGAATATTTCTATTTGATTGTGTTTTTTGAAGGAAGCTAATATTTTCTCTCCTTGTCTAGGTGTTTTTTTTGAAATGTTTGTTACATATTTTCTTAATGGCATTATTACAATCATTACATAAAAATTGGATGGCAAATTTCATTTGTAGTTTTTAATTTTTTTAACATTCAAGTTATAGACTTTGGTTTGATGTCAGGAACTTGCAGAAGCTAGAAAGAAGAAGAGGAAGCCGCATTACACTCTGGAACAAGTATGGATTAACTTATCCTATTACTATCTATAAATTTTTAAGTGTTCTAATTATTTAAATTTAGAGTCACTCATTTACCCTTTCAGAATGGCAACTATTATAATGTTAAATTTTTCTATCCTGATTGAATCTGCTTTACATACAAGTTGATGCATTTGCTTCGTATGCTATTGAATGAGTTTCCATTTCTTTTTGCACAATCTTAGATGGTTTGAAATGTGGTTTCAAGTTTTGGCGTAGTTTCCATTTCAATGCACCTATAACCTATGTACTTCAGGTTGCTCTCTTTGTTTTACTTGTCGTTTTCTCTTGAGGTGTAAAATACTTTTGTTCTTTAGAGACTTTTCAATTATCGGCCGGTTATTTGTCTGCTTGAGGATGGTAGAACCTTTTTTTCCGAGGAACAACTTGGGAACTCTTAGAACTATATATGAATTATCTGCCTACTTTAAATAGGAGCTTGCATCTCTATGGGAAAAGATGAGGCGTCGCAATATTGCTAAAGAAGATAGATCCAAGTATGTATTTCAGTAATGGAGGAATTGTAGTTTTCTCTATGACATATTTCTTCTTCTTCCTTCTAAGTTTTACCGATATTCACTAAAAACCATCCTTAGGCTGATAACTGAAGCTCTAGGAAAGATGAGAGGGAAGATTCCAGAAATTGCTAGTTCACATGTCTCATCACGTGTCCTGCAGGTGATTATTTACTATCTTTTTCCCTTTTCCTTTTTAAGAAATATGTTCAAATTCAATGTTGATGTTTGTCCTTTGTTATATTTCACCTCAGACTTGTGTCAAACACTGTTCACAAGCTGAAAAGGATGCTGTATTTGGGGAACTTCAGCCACATCTTCTAAACCTTGCACGCAACACTTATGCTGTTCATCTTGTGAAAAAGATGTTGGATAGTGGTAAAGCTTTAGTTCTAAAAACTCATTGGTGACTTATTTGTAACTGAGCAGTGTAATCACACATGTTTTTCTGATTACGCAATTTATCAAAATTTCACTATCTAATTATACTACTTGTGCCTACATGCAGCTTCTAAGAAGCAGCTAGGAGGATTTATTTCCTCTCTACATGGACATGTTGCTTCTCTTCTTCGACACATGGTTGGATCGGTTGGTATGTTAGTGTGAAAAGCACAGTCTATGTTTATTTCTATTAAAAAATTTATTGCTTTTCTAGGCAAGTCTACTTGAGATTTCCACTTTTGTTTTTTCTAGTGCTATGGCTAAATGCTTGTGTGGTGTATTGGGTGAGAGCAACCAGTCAACATAATTACTTTCATTTGCTTTCAGTTCTGATACACAATTATGTTAATGACCTTGAAGTATGTTCATGGTTCAGTCTTGTTATCTGTCAAAGCTTATATTTGTTTCTTTCATTCACTTTTACAGTAGTCGAGCATGCATACCAGCTGGGAAATGCTGCTCAAAAACAAGAGCTTCTGATGGAATTATATTCTACTGAGCTTCAGTTGTTTAAGGACCTTGTCTCAATGAAAGAAAGCAGGTAATCTGTCATATCTTTGTTTGACTTCCTGTCTTTTCTTTTTTGGAAAAAACTACTTGGGTGTTTTTTTAGAATTACAGTTGGGTCTTGTGTTTTCTTTAGACTGTGATGCAATTCCAAAATATGAAGACAATTTACCCAACTAAGTTTCCTGATAATTGTTTTATTTTATGTGATATTTTTTTGGACATAATAAATAGTTGAATGATTAATATGTTAATACTAAGGAAAAAATTAAATTGCTTCTATTATTACCATTGGAGAATGGAAAGTGAAACTGTTGGTTATTGATTTTGTCTTTCAAGTTCTGTTATGTGTTCTGGTGGTTGTTTCAAGGGGATGACTTCTTGAACTATCTATTCATTTGTCTGTTGCTCTCATTTGAGAAATATCGGTAATAAACTTTGTGGACCTGTAGCATAGTGGGAATTACCTAATGTATTACTACAAAGTTATCTATACAATTTCTTGTAGCCTGAACTTTTCTTTCAGTTTGAAATACTATGATTTTCTCAGTGCAAGGCTGCAATCATATGTTCTGATAGTTTTTGTAAAACTTTAATTAACCTTCAGGTTGGTAGATGTGATTTCAAAACTAGGCCTACAAAAGACTGCAGTCTCACGGCACATGATTCTGGTGATTCAACCACTTCTTGAGAAAGGAATAGTTGATCACTCTATCATACACAGACTGTTAATCGAGTACCTTAGCATAGCTGATCAGGTTACTCTCAGATATTTTTGGCAATCTATTTTTCTTTCTTACAGTATGTTACTTCACTTCAACGTCTTTCTCTTTCTAAATCATGTTTGTTGATAGTCCTCTGCTAGAGATGTGATTCAACAGCTCTCGGGCCCACTTCTTGTTCGTATGATCCATACTCGGGATGGATGTAGGCTTGGAATGCTATGCATTAAGCATGGGAGCACTAAGGTTTGATGCAATTAGTCGTAAGAGAACTATGATAATGGCAAAATGCAACTTTTATTTGATTTGGGTGCATCTTTATTTCAGGAAAGAAAGAAAATTATCAAAGGAATGAAAGGGCACATAGGCAAGATAGCACATGATCATTGCGGGAGTATGGTAAAGAATATTTTTGGATTTAACATACCCAAATTTTGTTAATTTCTCTGCTATTGTCTGAATATCATGGTTTTTTCGTACAAGCTTTTATTCTCTTATCCTCCATGGTTTCTTGTCTTTCATTTCCTTCTTTTCATGAGCTTATATCCTTCCTACTTTTGAATAGCTCATCCTTCCTACTTTTGAATTTTTTGTTTTTAGTTACCTTCTGTATCACTTCTTTTCAGGTTCTTGTTAGCATTGTTTCTATAGTTGATGACACAAAACTGACAACGAAGGTATTCCCACCTCCCTGTCCTTATAGATGTCAATTTTCAAAGTTTTATATTAGGTTCCTTTGATGGAGCTTCTTCTATTTATTGCAGATTGTCATTTCCGAGATTCAAGAAAATTTGAAGGAGCTTGTTTTGGACAAGGTTTCTTCTCTTCCTACACATTTTCTATAGTGCTAATGACTTATTCCTTGGGTTAGGCTAATTCTGTGTAATGTGTACTTCACAATGCTTTTAGGATATTCATTTTCTCTCTGGGCCTTTCATCTTGTTTGCAGATCTATAAACCATCTTTCCCTTCATTCCTTCTTAGTTTCACTTGAGCTATTTGTTATACATTAATCTTCTAATTAGTTTTGTTTCATAATTTGTGAAATGCAGAGTGGAAAGCGATCTTTACTGCAGCTTCTTCATCCAAATTGTTCACGCTATTTCAGTCCTGATGATCTGGCTTCTCTTGAATTATCTGTTCCTTCTCTCTCTCCTGGGGTAATATGAAGCTGCGATCAACTTTTTTTATGGAACTAGTGATCCAGCTGTGCATAAACTCGACCAATTTTCCTTCAAATTTCAGGATAAGTCAGGAATAAACTCTGAAGCAGGTTTAAAGGATGAAGAAACTAGCGATAAGGTAGTCAAAAGTGAGGAAGAATTAACAACCACCAATGACAATCAAAGTTTAAGCTCAAAGGAGAATCTGCCCGGTGGGAAAAAAGATCCATTTTTAAGAAGGCAGGAGTTGTTAATCAAAAGTGGGCTTGCAGAGGTTTGTTATTTAGTGAATTTCTACATTTATTTTGTGTTTTTCCTTTTCTTCGTCGTGCATTTTGCACCCTATTTTCTGTTAGGAAATATTTATCTTATATTCAAAAATGAGTCTACAGTTCAGCTTGGCTGCCTCATCAGAATGTTATAGGGTAACCCCAATACTGGTATGTTCTGCAGAATGTCATCAATATTTGTGTTGAGGGCGCTGGAGAATTGCTTAAATCAAATTTTGGCAAAGAAGTAATATACGAGGTATGCAATTTGTATTACTGATACTTGGCTTCTATTTTATAGGCGCCTCCTCTCCCACCAACCTGAAAGGGGTTGAGGAAAGGAATCATACTTTGCGTCTCCCTGAAATTTATCTGCAGTTGTATTCTTGTTAGTTCAATCAACTAATTCATATTGAAAACCCAAAGGGGGTTGAGGAAGGGTCATGAATTGGGTCTCCCTGAAATTTTATCAATCAAGTAGTTCAAATTGAAATTGCGTGCAGGTTGCAAGGGGGGGTTCTGATGGAATTCTTCGGCCAACTTTGGATGACAAGTTGACAAGCTTACATGAAGCCATAGCATCTCTTGCTGAAAAGTCTAAATATGAAGAGGCAGAGGAGGAGCATGTCCTCGAAAATTTCCATTCCAGTCGCACCATAAGAAAATTAATCTTGGATTGCCCTGCATTTGCTGCAACTTTATGGAAGAATGCTTTGAAAGGGAAGTGTAAATCATGGGCCTCAGGTCACAGGTTCGGTGTTGGTTTGCCCTTTACTTTTGAGCTTCATGCATTTGACCTAGTAGGAAAGTTTTCGTGGTCTCATGTGTTATTGTTGGGTTCACTTGCTGTAATTTTGCAGTTCCAAGGTAATCTGTGCATTCTTGGAATCCCAGCATTCTGAAGTTCGTGACATGGCACAAGGAGAGTTGCAGGTGTTAATTGATGCTGGTCTCCTCAAAGTCCCCGAAACCAAGCAACCGGCAAAAGAAGACTAAAGTCACGTAAATCTGTCACCAGAGTGTGCGGCAGATTCCTGATCATATCGTCTTATAGGCGATATAACGTTGCAAATTAGCCCAAATGGTTCGGAGGATAATGAAAGATAAGTAGTTGAATTTAGTCAAATCTTCTGTTCTTTCCTTTTCTTCCTCAGAGGTGTCCCGTAGAGATACTGATAAAAGCTAGAATCACACTTTTTGTCCGTATGCACCATGAATACACTCGAATGACAGCCAACAAAAAATTTTGTTTTCTGCTTCTAAGTTGGAATTTTGCAATTGGGTTCTTTTTCTGAATCTTATATATTATAATTAATATAGTTGAGTGTGTGTACATTGTTTTATAGCAATCAAAACCTGGTCGGCTGAATAGATTTCTGGTAGAAGTATAATGTAATAGCTATTGTGTTGGACACTTTTATTACATGTCTGGTATCCAAAATTATGATTCTGATGAATTATGATTATTAGATTAGATTAGATGCAGTAGTTGTAATTTATGTCTTGAGTCCAGAATCACAATTTTAACGTTTTCAAAATATTTTCTTGCACTCAATTATACTTTTAATTTATGTTATTTTATATCAAATATATTTCAACCTTAACAAATAAAATAACCAAGACTTGGTAAAAAAATAAATTTTTAATCTAAAAAAGATTCTAAAGAAGGTCCATAAATTAGAAGGTGAAAATTATATTTGTAAACATAAATTTTTAGGTTATATTTGAAAGTTTAATTGCTAATTATTACGCTACTGTTTATTTTAATTGTATTATTTAATTACAAAAGTGCATTAAAAATCCAACCAAGTATTAAAATTTAATTGATATCGTTAGATGAGAGTATAATCTTTTGCCAGCTGAAACTAAACTCTGATGGGTAATCTCTAAAGTATATCTACGGACAGTTCTTAGTCTTCTCAAGTTTGTCAGTCTTAAAATTTCTCATGAAAACCTAAAACACAGCTCAGGAAAAGAAAATCTCAGGAAAAAAAGGCAGCATATGCTACGTATGAGTATAATGAATCATGAACGGGCACGTGTAGATTTGCTTTTGAACATTATCCAATCAGATCTCGTTCTGAAGACTGGTATATCATCCATCCCTACCTTTCCCTCTCCATGTCTCACTACATTTTCCCTCCGCAAGTACCAGAAACACTCTGGTTTCTTACACATTTGGCTCCTGATATGAGGGTACCCTTCAAATACATAATCGGAGGGATCAAAGACTGGCGATTCTTTATTCAACTCGTAGCGATTTTCGCTCTGTAATGCAGTCTGTGAAGGGTCGAAGAGAGGGGATTCTTTTCTTGACAAGGTGTTATTAGCCTTCAAGCAGTTCTGAATCACCCTGGCCTCCTCTTTGAATCTGGTTCTCATGTCCTTCAGGCCTTCCAGAGGAATCCTGCAAGATCTTGACCGGGTTGGTTTAAGTTTTGGTGCGCGAAAATTGGTGGGAGAGTTGCAGGAGGTTGCGTATGGGATTCTATTGCATCCAATGCAGAAGTTTTTCCATCTCTCCAAATTGAAAGCTGTTCTTCTCTCATCGTCAGATAGACATTTGTAGGCCTGAAATCACACACACACACATATATATATATATATATATATATATATATATATACAGCATATACTTACTGAGCTGGAACTTAAAAAAGATAAATCCATTAACATCGGAGACAAAAGAGGAAACCAAGCATTGGCTGTAATCTTTGAGCTACTACACTCATGCCGTGATGCATCCGAAGCAGTATAATAGCACCCGTGAGCTGGAGATGGTTTTGGACCAAATTTAGTTGTCAAATTAAATGGTGTGTCTTTATGGTTCTTTCTCACATGGAAAAATCTTGAATACTACTACCGATAAAACTACCTTCCTGGATTCAATTTATGACTCTTAAATGCACCAGCATTTAATTTTTAACAGGATGAAAACTCACCCGCTTTTCATTCTTGCTTCTTTTTCCCCTCCAAAGACTCCTTAACAGAATCTATTTTTGAAGTTTCTGATACTTCTCTAGGAGTTTTACCTATTCCCTATACAGAGCTAGAGTCTAGAGAATTAAAGCAATGCCTGCAAATATATATATATATATATGTACGGAGAGAGAGAGAGAGAGAGAGAGAGGTGAGAAATGTCAAACCTCTGAAACAAGCTTGAAGGCAACCTCAGCCTTCGGATGCTTGTTCTTATCCGGATGGAGCTGTAAAGCTGCAATACAGAACAGAACAAAATGATTCGTCATGCTCAGTTAAAATGGTAATGACGTATATACACTCACACATACACATTTCTAAATTTCCATCAATGGCCGAACTCTTACCAAGTTTATGATACTGCTTTCGTATGACATCAATCCCTGCATCTTCTTCCACCTAATCCACTCCCGCAAAAATGGAAATCACAACACCAAATCAACAACACGACTCCTAAGAAACAGATTAATATTTCTTAATCAATTCATCACAAGATCAAAACAGAGTCGTCCGGAAAAAAAAAAAACAACAACGTACTCTAAGAACACGATACCAGTCGACGAAACTCGACCTCGCCGGCAGCTGGCTTCTACTCCTGTGAGCGCAAGCAATCACAGGTGTTACTGAAATGGAGCAAATCTCTGAGACTAAGAGGGATTTAGTATCCGATTCTCTCTCCATCGACGAACAGATTTGGAAACGAAAGAGGCGGTGAAGAAGGAATGCGAGATTTTGTTGTGCAAAAAGGTGAAGGATGAACGAGAGGGAGGTGGAGCGGTTAAGAGAAAAGGGGAAGAGTTTGCGGGAGAGATTTTTGAAAGTGGATCAGTTGGTGGGAAGGAAAAAAAAAAAAAAAAGAGGAGGGTTACCGTTAATTATTGCCACGTGTTGTTTCTCCATTGGCTGATTAGTAATTACATTTTAAAATTTAAACTTTGCGTAAATCCCGGTTGCATTTTTAAATTTTTAAATGAAAATATAATTGCGATTTCCTATTTTTATAATTAAAGCAATTAAATTTAATTTAAGAGGGCACTTTAATGGTAATTTAAATTTTTAAATAATCTAATTGCAACAAAAAACTAAAATAATATATATATATATGTATATATATATATAAACTGATAAGACAGAATTGTGAAGCTCAATGAGATTACATTTTGACTTTTGGTGTAATTCTTGGGAGTAAATTAACTTGATTTTCACATTATATTTATTTATTTAAAAAATTAAAAATTAAAATTTGTAAAATATAAATTATATAGTCAATTAATTTTTTGTCGACCCAAAAAAAAAAAAAGAGAGCTCTGGTAAAATTACATTTATATCCACGCCTCACGGTTGGATCCGGTTCGTGGGCCCCCACTTTTGGGCCCACATCCTCTTAAGCCCAACTTCCTCACTCCTCATTAACTGTTAATATTTTATTATATTTATTTATTTTAAAAATTAATAATTAATTTTATTAATTCAACATGGAATACTATTTTTTTAACACTAAACAGTCGCCATTATCGTTTTATGCAATACGTGAAATGTCCAAAATGCCCTTACGTGCAATCTGACGTGCGTACTTTCTACTGGGGGAAAGCTTCCCGTCATTGTCAGTAAAGTTTATTCCTTTCTCGTAATTTCATAACCCCCTTCAAAGCTTTTCTTATAGTTTATTCTCTTTCCAGATAGCACTGAGAATGACATTCTCCCTTTCTCTGCAACTCCCTCATACTTCAATTTTATCTTCTTCCTTTTTTTTTTCTCAGTGAAAAGGCGACTTATATTTCCCTTCGGAATCTACGTATCTGTATACGTGTGCGTGTGTGTGTGTGTGTAGAGACTGCAAGTTATAAAGGTTAAATTTGGATTAGCTGAACATTTCTTGCTGTGGATTTTGGTGTGGGAAAAATAGCATAATCTGTAATTTGATGATCGAGTACTAAGGCGTCGGATTTAGGCCCGTGGTTTGAGATGGCGACGGGCACAATGGCGACGGCTGCAGGGGCAGCTGTGCTGCTCTACTACTTGCTCAGCCGTAGGTCGGGGGCGAAGGGAGAGGAGGACGGGGGAGGCGGGGATTTGTCGAAATCGGGAAGATCTGGGAGGAGGAGAATTGCGAGGCGGCCGGCTCAGGCGCCTGCCACGTGGTTCGAGACGATCGCCACGTTGTCTGAGACGCTGCGTTTTACCTACTCGGAGACGTTGGGCAAATGGCCTATTGGTGATTTGGCTTTTGGCATCAATTACTTGATGCGCAGACAAGTACGTCTTTTTCTTACCTCATTCCTTTCAAAATTATATTAATATATAAGATTACTGCTTAATTTTATACTAAATTGTTTGTGGAAAGCGTCTGTTAGCTGATCAAACTTTTAATTTTTTTGTAGAAATTGTCTGTTAGCTAATCAAATGCTTACAAAATTACCTTAAAAGATATTCTTCAGCTGGTCTTTGTTCATTTTCGTCTTCGTTTGGAGGTCAAGAAAATATTAGTTAATTAGTAGAGGAGGTTTTATTGGTGTTATGAGCTGAAGCTGTCCAGATCTGTTTTGTTTGGTTTATTTGCTGTGAACTTTTGTTGAACAGGGTAACTTGCAAGTTGCAAATATTTATGCTGGAACTAACTGTGTACGACTTAAAGGCCCTGAGATTATTGCCGAGTTGAATAGTCTGCTGAGGCTGTTGACACTTTGTATGCTCTTCTCAAAGAAGCCATTTCCGGTGTTTTTAGAATCTGCTGGTTTCTCCGAGGAAGACGTTCTTCTCCAGAAGCCCAAAGCAGGGGTAAGTCACCATATACAATATGCTTCCCGTTGTTCTTGTTAAGCTTTTAGCAGTTTAAGAAATATTTTATTTTGGATATAGTGGGTCTTTCCATTTTAGCCTCATGGATGACTTGCAATCTATGGGGAAGTTAACTTCAAGGAGCAGTAAAATAATGTTTGGCTGGGAAATGACATTCTAACTTCACTTTTGGAAAGTATATGCTTAACTTCATTGCAGAAGGTAAAGAAAAAGAGAGAGAGAGGCCAAAGAAAGCATCTTTGTGGTAGCTGACATTGTCGCACTTCCATGTAAGACCCTTCAGTCTAAACATGGAGGCAATTGTTAACTCATGCAGATTTTAGCGAACTACTCTAGATATATCACTTCCATTTTTTTCCCTTAGTAGAAGTATTTAATTAACAAAGCAAGTTGTGGCATAACGAGAAATCTTAGTTAAGAGGCCAGAGAAAGTTCAAAGAAATGTATAAAGGAGGTTATAGTTTAATTTTGGCTGACACTGCAGCTCATTTTTGCATAAAAAATGATTCAGAAGATTTTAAGTCTAGAGAACCACTTAGCAGGACCAGTTAGTGATTAAAAATACTTAAGCTTTTGGGAGGGAGTAGATTTCTAGGTTCTAACTATGTGTGCTTATAGGTCTCCTTTCATGAGTTTATCTACAGTGAATTTTCTCTTCATCCACAACCGAAAGCCCCATAAAATTATGTTCTATAATCTGTTTTCTTTTTCCTGGAAAATCGTAGTTGGGTTTTTGATATGTAGTTCTCAAAATTGTTGCAGCTTCTGAAGCCTGCTTTCACAATTATACGGGATAAAAATTCAAAATGTTTCCTTCTATTAATTCGAGGCACTCATAGCATAAAAGACACACTTACAGCAGCAACTGGCGCAGTGGTCCCTTTCCACCATTCAGTTTTACATGATGGTGGAATAAGCAACTTAGTTTTAGGATATGCTCATTGTGGAATGGTTGCTGCAGCCCGTTGGATTGCGAAGCTTAGCACTTCTTACCTCATCAGGGCTTTGGGTGAATATCCTGACTACAAAGTGAAGGTAATTGCTGCATGTTCAATGTAAAATATTGTGGGATTTGTGTCTAGATCACTTTCACATATTGTGTCATGCATTTTCCTTTTCTTTTATTATGTTCTATTGAATTTCTAGCAACAGGTTTCAGATGGAGTCTCAAATTATGTTCTGGGTCGTTTTATCAATGGAAGTCCACCGCATTATATGGGGTAGCATACACAAGATGTTAATTGCAATCATGCAGATGCCTTTGGCAGTTAGTATGCCATTCTTAATAGGTTGGCATACACGATGACATTACTTAGTTATTTTACAGTTAATTGGTTGAAGTAAGCTAAGGGCATTGTATAATGGAAGATGGAAGCAATATCTATTATCTCTCTGTATGCATTATTTTTAGGGATGCTGTTCTTGTCTTTTTACTATTTTCTTTTTATGTTTTGTTGCTGTGATGTCAGTATTGAAGTTAAACCTATAGGCTTTTTATCTTAAGTTTGTAGTGCAATTTCAGATTGTTGGGCACTCACTTGGTGGTGGTACAGCTGCATTATTAACATATATTCTTCGAGAACAGAAAGAGTTATCCTCTTGCACTTGTTTTACGTTTGCTCCAGGTACGTGTTGATCTCATCTCATTGTATCATTTTCTTTCTGCTGTATGTTTATATTAGTCTCTTAGTTGCATGCTAATACTGCTCGTGTCCATATATCCTTTAACATAATATATATATATATATATATTTCATACAAATCAAGAGATTCTTTTGTTAACGATGTGGGTATTTTATTTTTTCATCTGGTAATGGAAATGTGCTGGTTAGTTTGTATTTCTGAAGTCATATGGAGCAGAATCTTCCAATTAGATATTCGAAGACTGAATGGGGTGTGCATGTATGAAGCAAAAAAAAAGGTGTCTGCTGCGAGAATATGACATGATTTAGCTGCTAAATATATATGCTGGGGAGGAATTGGCAAATGTTATACTCTGACATTGTACTTTGGATTGGTTTTTCAGTCAAATTATAGTGCCTGTTGATGTTATTTGACTTGAGAAGTTGAAAGTAGAATTTTTTTTTTTGAGATAAAAAGTGTAAGGTATGTATTAACAAGGTATCAAGGGGGTACCACCTGTATACAAAAGAGAGAAGTTGAAAGTAGAATGATCTGATTTCCTAAGACTTCTACCTTCTATTATGGTTTTAAGTTTGTTACCTTCACCCCGGTTGACCAGAAATTGCTTTACTGAGTCTTTCTTCTGAACACTTGATAATATTGCTGCAAGCATGAAACACTCATCTCTCAACGCTTATTGTGCCATCTGCAGCTGCCTGTTTGACTTGGGAGTTAGCAGAATCAGGCAAGCATTTCATTACTACGGTTATCAATGGTTCTGATCTGGTGCCTACATTCTCAGCAGCTTCTGTTGATGACCTTCGCTCTGAGGTTATATCTCTATCTCTATTCTAAAAATGAATGGAAGTCACTCCAAATACCAACTTGATTTTGACTGCTCCTTTTAAATCTTCATTTTCAACTCTATTATCAGGTCACAGCATCATCCTGGTTGAATGATTTGCGGGATCAGGTTGAACGTACAAGAGTCCTTAACGTTGTTTACCGTTCGGCAACAGCACTTGGATCTCGCTTACCATCCATGGCTAGTGCAAAGGCCAGAGTTGCTGGAGCTGGGGCACTTCTAAGGCCTGTTTCCAGCAGTACTCAGGTAAATATTTATATTCTCGTTTCCTCTCCATTTTTCAGGGTAAGTTTGTTCTCAATGCCTCTCTATCTGGTTGTTTTTCCAAATGTGAATCACAGAACATAATTGCTTGGGTGGTTGCAGGTTGTAATCAAGCGCGCACAGAATGTTGCTCAAGCAGTTGTAAAAACCCGCTCATCCCTATCATCATGGTCTTGCATGGGTGCTCGCAGACGTCCGGTGGGCTCACAATTTAGCTCTAAAATTGAGGAAAATCCTGAAACTTCTCTGATATCCGAAAGAACTTCTGAAAGCCTTGTGGCCGAAGTTGTAACAAGAGATCTAATGCAAAACAAAGTGCAGTCTAGTGAATCAGGGAATGAGGATACAGATGATGATCAACCATTAATCTCAGCAGAAAGAGTCATTACTGAATCTGCCATGGAAGAAGACCTAATTGAAGGCGATCTCTGGAATGAACTAGAGAAACAACTTGAGGGACAGGATAACCAAGTTGATATTCAAACAGCAGCCGCAGCTAAAGAAATCACAGAAGAAGAGAATGCTTTAGCTGACAGAGTGGACGGGAAAGGTGTCATTTCTTCTTCAGATGTATCAGAAAGCCAACGTTTTTATCCCCCTGGCCGAATCATGCATGTAGTATCTGCCCCAGTATCGGATTCTTCCAATCTCGATCATGGTGTCCAGGTCGAGGAACATGTTGACGTTGGAATATACGAGACACCTAGAGAACTGTACAGTAAGATTCGGCTGTCGAAAACAATGATCAATGATCACTACATGCCGATGTATAAAAGAATGATGGAGCTATTAATCAGGGAACTAGAGAGGGATGAAACTCGTAGTTGTGTAGAGTCAGAAGAACAAATTGTATGTTAAAAAACATAAAAAATCTTAACATCACATCTCCAAAAGGATGGTTTCAACGTTTCTTTTCTTTTTAGTGTTTGGAATGGATCGTGATCAGTCAACAACCATATTACAGAAGAACACTTAATATTTCAATCCATCATTTGAAAAGCAACTCGAGCAAAAATCCTCCCAGTTCTGTATTTTCATCAACGAGATCGCAGAAGAACCATTTTTGATCATTTTGGAATTCAGGATAAGAATTTATACTGTACTTACGAAGTTAATCTTCAATTCAGCGATTTTATTAAATTTAGGGCAGAATTGGGTTTACCACCTACTCAAATTTTTATTTTGGTTTTAGCGGTGAATTTGTGAGCCCCGGAGGCGTCGGGGCTTCCAAAAATTGACGGGCAAGCCCCACCTAAGTAGGGCGAGGCTCGCTCGCCTTAGAAGAGTTGTGTTCGCCGTACAAGGTGTTGGCACGACCCGCCGTCTCTAAACGATCATTGACGAGTCGCCTTTCACCCCTGACAGGACGGATTGAGTGAAGCACGCAGTGTTTCTTTTATTTTATAAATAAGATGCCATCTTCGCGTTTATGAATTTCCGATGTGGGATGTAATTTCTTATCTAATGTTTTTTTCTATGGGTTCTACGATATTGTTGTATATGTCAACGTTTGTTTTTGATTCTGAAAATAAAAATTCATAATTATAAAATTAAATAGTAATTAAATTCAGAAAAAAATTTACTAAAATATAATTTGTTATACTTTGATTCATAATTTTTATTTATTTATTTTAAAAGTCCAATTTCTTTATATTTAGTAACAGAGAAAATTAAAATGAATATTATATTTAGATTTTTTTTTTAAAATAACTTAATTCTACAAATGATATTTGTTCTTCATTCATTCCGTCTTTTTTTTACTTTTGTTTATTTTAATTTTTTTTATTTTTTAATTAAAAAATAAGATAAAACTGAACATTTATAATAAATAAAAAATATTACGAAATAAATTATAATAAAAAAATTAAATTATAATAATTATAAAATTTTAAAACTTGCTCTTAAATTTAATTAGGCATAAAATGGAAAATCAACATATAAAATAAATCGAATAGAAATTGAGTAAAAACGCATACTAAAAAATATTCAAATTACTGACTGAAGAACAAAGGGAGGAAAGGAGTTGACTGGATTCCAATCTCATAACTCAAATTCACTTTGGGAGAACATATGAAGAAACTCAATGATATAACACAAATCAACTTCAATACTTATAGTCATTGCAAACACATTTCTGTACAGGCACAGACAAATCTTCTCTGTCATTCTGGCGAACATTGAAAATTGTTGGCATCCACCAAAAGCTTGCAAGGCCCAGTTCTACAATCTGCCTGTCCATCACAGTCAGCATCTGCCAAATTGAAAGCAGGCAGAGAAATGGGCGAACCATAAGAAACATTAAACCAATTTCAACAAATTGGTTTTGCAGACAAAGTTTCCTTCCATTATTATATCAACCACCATATCTGGTCTTGAGCGACTCTGGTGGCTCTTCTTCCATTATGCCTGAACCTGTTGTTGCCAAGTACTCACGGATTGTTGTTTGACGATCTCCAAGGAAAGTGTGATCCAGAAAGTTGTCATAAGCTGCATCGCTAAGATTCTTTGCTGCCAACACACTGCAGAATAATTCATTAGTTTTAGTTTATGCACAAAAAGAGTTTGAAAAACAAACAAGGCCTGCAGCCCAAATGGTGCTTATTTATGGCAAAGAGAAAGCCCTTAGAGTATCCAGAAGATCAAATAAAGTACCAACAAACAAAACTATGAAAGACAGGGTTAAAGCAGTGCTTTCTACTAAACCATCATATGCCTAGGCGCTTCCACAAGGTTTCTCGGTTGTTATCTTTAGAATGAACTTAAGAATTTCAGTTATCTGACGAGTTAACAAGAGAAAGAGGTAAAACAAATAAAGTACGACTGTCACATTACCCGCAAAAGAGATTCACGCATAGATCAACTGAAGATAAGTACTGAATGGATATAGCATCGGTATGTTGTTACCATTTAATAGTGGATATGGTTGGATAACTATCTATTCTTTGAAGTTTTTAAGTAAAGAATTAGAAGCACCTACCAATGCCGAAGATAGACACGGCAAGGTAAAATATCATCTCTCCATATCTTATCGATGTTGTACCGCCCATATTCCTGGAAATAAAGCTCTTTGCTTCCTGCAAAGAAAAGTACCACATGAGAACTACTGTTGAGTTGAACAAAGTTTTCATAGAAACAACGGGAGAAGACACCAGAAGATAAAAAAACATTACGTTAGCGAAAGACAGCGTATCTGGAGATACTCAGTGTCTAATGTCTAGCAACAATGGATATGACATGTAAGCTACTTGTAGACATCCCAACTTCAGTGACAACTTGAAAACAAGTACAATCCTCCTGGAAGCTATCTAGCTTGGAAGAATCAGACTAAGTTTGACATAGGCCTTACAAAAGTAACCGGAAAAGAAAGAGATAACAAAAACCCAAAAATATTAGAATAGGCCAAGGCATCAGGGGTTCAGGAGATCTTCATTGTCTATCAACAACTTAGGCCTTGCAAAAGTAACCAAAAAGGAAAAAGATAACAAAATCTCGAAAATATTGGGATAAGCCCAGGCATCTGGACATCTTCATTGTCTGTGAAAAATGGAGTTACGAACTAACATCATCTTTTTTAACTTTGCCGACCATAGTCATCCCAATTGTATAATGCAACATAATCATAACCTGAAAATAAGAAGAACCCTCTTAAAGCTACCTTTGCATCTAATCTGGAAGAATTCCTCATCACTATATCGAGTGCAAAGCACCTGCACAGATAGAATAGTTATCCATGATTACAGCCAACTTCATTGGAAAGGAAACGTGACAACATTTGAGTTATGATGTAACCAAAAACTAGATTTGAGAGATTCACACACCGCAGGATTGGTAAAGGGCTCTCCATTGAGTGTTTCAGGTACAACCTACAACAAATACATGAATTTACTATAGTTACAGAAATTCCTGCCAAAAGCTATCAGATTAACAATTGAAATAGTCCTGGAGAACCTAGAAACTCACCGCCAAAAAACGGAACTCAAGCTCTCTTCGCATGAAAGCTGGAATCTGACTTTGTAGAGCAAGAGATTACGTTAAGCTTTGATAGACACACAACTAGACTGAAAACTTTCCTTCGACTTTCTGGGATCCAGAATTTGAAAACAAAACAACATCAAGGGAAAGATATGTATATACCTCGGATCTATTGATCTCAAACACAGTAACGATAAGCGTTTCCCCTTCACAAGTCTCCACGCTTAAGCTTGAAATCTCCTGCCATATTATCATAATCGTAATTCACACAATCAATACACTGAACATAAGTTTCATCACTCACACAAACACACACATAGAGAAACCATAGTAGATATCTTGAATCATTTGCAGGAAACAAGGAGAGAAGTAACTTATACTTCTACAAGGAAAATGACTAGAATTCAACCAAAAAAAAAAAAAAACCTTAGTCTCAGGTTTGGCGATACCGCGCTCGAAGAAAATGGGAGCGACGTGAGCAAAAACTCGTCGAAATCCATTTAATCTCGCAACTCTGAAATTCAACAGATTGGGAAATGTACTCCTCGCGCTTCTCTCTGGTCCCAACACAACAGACACATAATGAATCCGCACAAATTATACAGTGATCACAATCATAATGATCAAAACAACTAACAAGGTGGTGGTGCCGGTTTTGGCATTGATCGTGTAAATGTACGTACCAGAGAGAAGAGACCCGAAGCCACATATTGAGATTTGGCCGTCGGAAGATAGAAGCTTATCGAAATCGGACACTTCGTTGAGTTCCAAATTCTCCGTGTGGAAACTTGAGTGGATGACGCCGGAGGGCATTATGCAAGAAGCTTGCCGGCAGGTTTTTCGGCGATACAATTTCACCGAGGAAAAGAAGCGAAGTGAAGAGCGAGGAATAGATGATAAGATGATTGGCGGAAACGCAGCGAGTGGTGGCTTCCGATCGCGATGTGGAAGCGAATGAGCAAGTGAGGAAGCCAGAAATGAAGTAGAAGTGCTCATACGAGACTCAGCACCCTGAAGAATCAGGTCTGCCTATTTGGGGAGAACGAGGGCAAGACACGGAATCGTACATACATACATACATATATATATATATATATATAGATTTGAAGTATATATATATATATGATTCTATATATATATATATCTAATTTTAATTATCTCTTTATAAAATAATATATTTTTAATAATTAAAATAGATATAAATTTATAAATCAAATTTATATGAAATTTAAATTTATTTTAGATATAGCCTTATGATTAATTATCAAATAAAAACTTATTATTTAATTATATATAAATAAAATTTATTAAAGAATTTTATATTTAATATTATAATGTACGTAATAAATATTTATTGAAATTTTATAAATAGAAAAATAAATTTTAATTATATTAAAATAAAATTAATTTAATGATATAAATAATAGACGTCTCTTTATTAATTTAATATTAATTATATTTTTAAATTTTTTAAACATAAAAATACATATGGTTGCTCTCAATAAAATTTTATAATTTTATAATTAAAACATGTATTTCTATACTATTATATTTATTTTAATATCAAAACAAACACTTTTATATTAACGGTTCGGATTGAGTATATTGTCATCAACGGTTCAGATTGAGTAGTTCTGGCTTTCATGAACAAATTTTTAACGTCCGCGAAGATACACACTAAAAAACCTCAATGCCAAGAAAAGGCCAAACAGGAGGAAGACTGTGAGTTGTTTGTCCGTTTCGGGTCTCATCCTGGATTCTCAAGGCAAGGCGGGGGGGGCACCACAAAAGAAAATTCTGGACCAAACAAATGGTTTACCTAAAGCCTACTCATTAAAAATATTACTTTGTGTAGTATCCACTCAAAAAAATGGAAGCTGAGACTTGAGAGTTACAAAAATCTTTGGGAGATGATGGCTAAGTTCGTGGTACTCTGAGAAAGGAGAGAGATTTTGAGTTCAGAATCCTGATTTCTGAACTGGGTTTCTCTAGATGATTAAGCTTTGTTTGATGGCTTCTCATGGGTACCCTCCTGGTGTTGTTCTGCACCAAGACCAGTGCTTGAGCAGAATCATCAAGGTACTTCTTGGCTCTCCTTTGATTTTGTTTTTTTCTTTCGGTGATTTGGTCGATGAGACATGTTGTCATTTCAATAAGGTTTAAATTTAGTTGGGATTCTGATTTCTCTTTGTTGACTGGCTATTTAGATGCCTTGTTTTTTGAAGTAAATGATTTTCTTTTATCTGGGTATTTTAGAATTGCTTTGATAAAGTTGGGAATTTGTTGCATGTTTACTAAATCATTTAGGTAAAATATTCAAACTATGTATTTCCTCAAATTCAAATACAGAATGAATATGGTGAGATGACTTGGATAATTGGCTGATGGAAAATGTTTGTATATATTGCTTTGTTTACTCTTCGTCTACAAGAAGTTATTTGTGATGTTGTAAATTTCTATCGTTGTCTTCCTCTCTTTGTGAGATTAAAATTTGTGGTTTATGCAGGATCCTCCACCCTACCTTGCAAGTCATGGAACAAGACAAGAGGTGGTAACATCAGGTTTTGCTAATCTGATGCCAAAACATTATGAGGAGCTGTGGAAACCTGTTCCTTCATTGTGCAACTGTAACCAGTTTGTTATTAATGATTTGGCAATAAAAAGGCCAACGCTTAGTGATGTTCAAGGTTTGTAATTTTGCTGATTTGTCTGTTAAGTAGGTCCTCCTCTTTTCGCCTTTTGCTGTGGAGATGCTCAGAAACATATAAAAAGAGAGGCTTAAGCCCTGATTAGTTATAGATAACTATTGTGAATCAAAACATGATACTGGTAGTGTTACATTGGCTAGTTTTGCTTATTTCTCCTCTTTCTTTATGCCTTTTGCTATGGAGGTGCTTAGAAGCATATAAAAAGGGAAATTTAAGCACTAATTAGTTGTAGAAAAATTGTGAATGAAAACATGATCTAGGTAGGGATTGGTCTACCTAAATTATAAGACCGGACAGTTAAAAAAGTCCAATCCTATGGTTGGTGACATGAAAGTAAAGTGTGACAGACCAAAAAGCTTTAATTTGTTGAACAATTAAGTTGCTTCGAGACCATGGAAGTTGGAACTGAATTGTTCTTGGCCTTTTGAGTACCCTCTACCCATATGTTTTACCACCTAATTTTTACTCTGAATGTTTACATTAATTCTTCAATTAAGCCTTCCATTACACAAATAAATCTCCCAAATTCTTTTTTTTTTTTAATAAATCTTCACCATTTCCTTCTGGGTAGTCTTAGCATCTATTATGTCATTTTCTTTTGCTTTGATGTTTTCATATTTAAATAATTTAAAATTTTCAATTAAATTAATATATCAATGATTTATATCTTTTGCTCTCTAAATATACGATGGAATAACAAGATGATGTTAAATCATAAGTTTACTAGGTCTTCCAGAGTCCAGAGAATTGGCTTTACAGGATTTGCGTGTGTCAGTGAGAATGCGCTGATAGATGCATGAGCTTGTGTAGACTTGCGGAGTTGTACCTAAGCTGTGCAGATGTAGACTTGCATGTGTATTCACATTTGTGTATCATCTTTATGATATGTGGTGTGGGATAACATGGCTGAAATTATGTGCTGCAAATCTCTCTCTGTGTATTTTCTTACCCTCTCTCATGTATGGACATTACTCAAATAATGGTACCTGTCTGCTTGCTTTGTTTACAGAAGCTTGCCCTGATTCAATACTCTTCAGCTCTGGCATAGCTGAACACTGCACAAGACAAGAAAAAATCTTGAAATATCTTATATCGGAATCAGGTGACCTTGAGAGAGGTGGAGTGGATCTATCTTTACTATCTGAGTTGATAGGGCTTCACGGAGAACTTATATTTGATGATCATCAGCAGCAGCCATATGCTCCTTTTCTTATTTATCCAGGTGGTGAATTTGATGCTCCAAAGCCACTTTTGGATTTTGTTGGAGATATGGCTCGTAGCTCAAAAATTACAGTTCACCCAAATGGTCAAGTTTTATTTGCTGGGAGTAAAGCTGAAATAAGAGATATCCTCTCACTAGTTGCTGAGTTCTACTTATCTCAAAACTCAGAAAAGAGAGGAAAACATTCAATGCTGGTTCCACAATTTAGCAGGTATGTATAATTAGCTGTCATTGAGTTTTCTCATTATCATGTGCACAGTTCAATAAGGAATTCTTATATCTGTTCATGGAAGAAATGAGAACTGATGAAACCTTATTGAAATAAGATTGACCTATTTTACAATCTTGTCTAACATTTGACTCTTTGGTAGCTTGATGGATTCTGATTGTAATATTCAGTATGTTGAGCACAGGTCTTGTGTTGATTCATTTTTGCAATTGCTGGTTATCTTGGTTTAGGAATTGAACCCAACAATTGGCATTTCTGATATCTGTGAAAGAATTACACTTCATCCTGTACAGAATATTTACTTTCCATCTATATTATGAGTACGTGATACTGTCAGCACAAATCTACCTGTGCTTGATTCTGTGTTGTATTTTATACTATTGTCCAATAACAGGATATCCCGGTTTCTTCCATCAATAGGTCATGGTTTGGTATAAATTTGATCTTTTCATTGTTTCAAAAAAATAAAAATAAATTTGATCTTTCCATGCTGGCAACCATCTAGATGTTTGACAAATACCTTTTTATAATTTCTTTTGTATTCTTTTGGCACTCTTTTCTTTTTTTTTTTTGAGGAACCTGGTGGTAGTTGGCAGCCTCATGGGTGCCTTTCGAGTGTAATGTTTTTTTTTTTTTTTCTAAAACATAAGTCGATCTTTCCATGTGAATCAATCTGCCATCACTCTCATTGGTGCCTTATGAGTGTAATGTTTTTCTTTAATTGGTCAGGTGACGTGATATGATTCTTGATTTACTCTCTCGCCCTTCCTTTTTCCTTCTTTCATTTCTTACTCAACGTTTTTTCTAAAATGAAAAAACATTACGAAATACATACATGATCTATTTCTTTTTTTTTTTTGAGATAAACATACATGATCTTTTTCATTATTGATTAAATTAGTCTGCTATGTTTTTTCACTGGATCATTTATTGATGTAATCCCTTCATAGATTGTCCTGTTCAATTTATGGATTTGGGTTCTTGACTATGCTGATTATTTACCATGTTCTATATCTACGTATTTAAGTTTCTTTCAAATTTTATTATAATTCTGCTAGCATCTCATCCTTCAGTCTTCGGTTGAGCAGAGTGGACATCACCGAAGCAGAGGCTAACATGTGTGTGTCTTATCCAAAGACTGAAGCTGTGACAGTTGCACCTTTGAAGAGGTAAATATCATGGTTATGCCTAATTATCTCTTAGCAACTTCTCCTTGCTGTTGCTTTCCAATGACTCAAATCCAATCACAAAGATTTTAAATGATACGAAGTTCTTGGTCAGAAAACCAGTAATACTTTTTCTTGTTCTTGGGATCTTGATCATGTCTGGGTCCTTTTTTTGAGAACAGTATCTGAGATTTATCTTGTGAAGCTATAAGCCTAAGTTATGACTACTTTGAAACTTATTGTTATTAGATTTGACCTGGAAACCATCCTGCCATGTAGGGAAAATGAGATAGAGGGAAACATGACAAATGAGAACAAAGAAAATCATAACAAAGGCTGTTCTTTTACATAAAGTAACACACTTACAAAGTTGCGAGTGTTGACTCTGAGGTTTGCTCTTCTTAAATATGACCTCCCCCTTCAAACTATCGAGTGTCAATCAGCTTTTTAGTCTTTGATGGATAGGAAGGCTGCCGACTTGTAATTTGTGATAACCTCGTTTTTCGTAATTCTTCTTGCATGTATGTGCTTGGTAAAAGTTTCTTAGAGCCCAATTAGGAAAGATTTTAAATCATGAATAATGTCTGTGTTTAACGTAAAAATTAGATTTTTAAATTGAGAGGATGGATATTTTAAATATGAACCATGGAAGCAAGAGGAACTTAAGACATACATCAAAATATTGAAACTCCAAGAGTTTTTGAAACAAGATATAGTCTGAGGTGGTTGAACTAGAGCTGTTCCAGTATTCTTGCCATTGACCATTCCATGCATTTCCAAAAAACTGAAGGATATTGTTATTGTAATATCTACACGAGTTTTCATTAAGTTCCTAGTTGAAGATGTGAATTTTTTTGTTTGGTGCTTTCAAGTTAACCTTTCTGTTCTTTTTTAAAATTGGACAGTCCTGAGAAAGTCAAGGTCAAGGCCTCGCCAAAGAAAAAGAAAGGTAAGAAGGGACTCAAGGAGAGGGATCTTTACAAAAAGAATTACTTCCACGCATGTGAGAGCCTTCTATGCTTGATGCTTGACAAGAGCCAATATAGGAAGACAGCAATTTTGTCGCTGAAGAAGTCTGGCCCTGAACTTCCTGAGCTTCTGGCACAGTTTTCTTCTGGGATTGCTGGAACTGGCCTTGCTGTTCTTTTTTCTGTAATATGTAAAGTTGCATGTGGTAGGATGGCCTTCTCTGCATCTAAGCTTTTAAATACTGGAATTGGTTTTGGCCTTGTTTGGTTGTCATGGGCAGTGAATAAACTGAGGGATACAATTGTACATCTGAACAAGAATGGAACGAAGTTGAATTTGAAGGAGGATGAGATGATGAGGAGAGTGGATGAAAGTATGAAGCAGATTTATTTCGGAGCTGCAACATTGATGACAGTTGCAGTGCTAAGGCTTGTATGAGCATGAAGTGGAAAAATTAATAGTAGTTGTCTTATGAATCCTGACGGTATGGACAACATGTCAACTTGGGGTGATTGTGATTGCGGAAGTTATGAGCTTAGCCGGGTTAGCTGAGTGATGATTGTATTAGCATCCATCACCGTCATAAAGAGTGTCTGTTCGCGTCAGCATGACCTGCTCAGTGCTCAACAATGGCGCAAGCTTTTGTCTGATAAATAATTGTATACGATGAGGATGTAAATTGACCAGGGAGGTAAGGGAAGAGGGTTGCATGGCTGCATACTGAAACAGGATCATTTAAAAGATGAGATGCAGTTTTGTCTTCTAAATATGCTATCTTAAGAATTCTCTATTCCGGTGCACGATATAGTTACCATCTTTTATTTAAGAAAGTAGAATTACCAAATCCTTTATACCTCTCTGCATTGATACACTTGATAATTTGTCAAAATCTTCCATATTAATCAGTAATAAATCCATTCAACCCTGTCACATTTTTTCTCTGTTCAACTTTTTGTTATTATGAGAAGAAAGAGTCTTTTGGGAGTGACAACATTCCAATTCAGAAGGAAAATATGTTTGGAACTAATAAATTTCAAATTTTTTTATTTAAATGAAAGTATAAATGTACATATGAAATGAAAAAAAAGAGAAGAAGAAACTTCATGGCAAAATTCATATGTTCATTGTAAAAGTTGACTAATTAGCTTTTCCATCTGCATGAGACAATCCATCAGGAGATAAATATATGTATTCACTGCTTGATCCTAGTGAAAAAGCAGACCAGTTTGGCCGGCAAATTCAGAAGTTTCCTGCCAAAATTTATAACCATTACAGCTTCCAGAAAAGCAACAAATAATCCTGCAGCCCCTATGCTTGCTGCAACGTGTTTTGGTCCAGCATTGGCACTACTTGAAAGGAATATTATTTAACTAATGAAGATGAGAAAAAAAAAGGATCAAAACAATCAAGGCCATATTGCTTGGTTCTGCACCGTGAAATGAAAACAGAAGACAAACTTCCTCTCTAATTCTCCTCAATTCGTGATCTCTAAAATTTTCTTATAATTCCTAGAACAAGCATTAAGTTAAGGGCAGATTGCAATTATGTAAGGCATTCCAATCGGTATTCATTTCTACTGAGATCAGGCATCAAGTCTCGCTACCAACCCCCTTTCCAACCAACAGATGGAAAGGATTTGGACGACCAAAAAACAGCATCTCAGCTAATTACCTTTGATACCACACCTGCACCCACAGTTCTACCTCCCTCCCTCAAAGCAAATCTTTGACCTGTCATAACAAAATAAGCAATACTTTAGGCCCATACTTCCTTCTACAGTTTTTGAACATAAAATTGTGAAAACAAGAAAGCGCTTGGTTCAGCTTTTGTCTTCAGTTTTTGCATTGCAAAATCACTTTTTCAACCAAACAAGTAAAATGCAAAGTGCTTTTGACAACAACCAAAGCCAAACTATAGTCCTAATAAGTTCAAAACCAAAAACTACAACATATAGCTCTTAGAAAAATACTTTGCTTTTTATACAAAATTTATACTTGAAATCTCAAAAGTTTTTAGAAGTGACAACATTTCCTAAAGCTATTTCTACCAAACACCGAACAACTTTTGAATAAAAATATTTTTAACTAATAATAATTTTAACAACAGAAGCTACAACCATCCTAAATGCCCACTAGATGTTCCTATAGTACACATGCATTCTAGTGAACCTATATAACATACATACTGTAGTATAACACTGAATTGATTACAAAGATATAGATATAAATATGATAAGACAAACTACAGCAGCAACATTTATCTGCCTATCCATTTACATGACTAACAAACATCCTAATGCGTGCCTAAACACCCTTCCCTGATGAACACTGTAACTAACCATACATGTCAACTCATGCATGAGAGAACTAACAAGATTTAATTTTTTGATAATGACATGTTGGCTTTTCACACTATACCCCTATTTTGTCAGAAAGATGCAACTTTAGAAAATAACATAAAGAATGTGTTTTGACGGCTTATCAAACTATGGAACAAAAAAACAGTTCAGTTCTATTTGATTTCCATCCAACATAAACAACGGTACTTATCAGAGCTATGATGCTACAACAAAGTTGCAACATTTGTGACGCCAAATGAAGCTTTTAAATAAATGAAAAAGGAAGACAAAGTGAAGTCAAATCACCTGCTTCAAGAGGCACTGATGAGATTAATTCAAAAACTGCAGTCACATTGTCACCAGGCATAACCATCTTTACATTTTCTGGCAATTCCACTTTGCCAGTGACATCTGCTGTCCTCATGTAGAACTGAGGTCTGTAGTTTGAGAAGAAAGCAGTATGGCGCCCACCTTCATCCTTTGTGAGAACATATATTTCTGCTTCAAACCTCTTATATGTTTTAACAGATCCAGGCTTGGCAATCACCTACACAATTATCAAAAAAGATAGGACAATATTATAGACTATCCTGTTGGAAATTCAGTCTTACTTAATGTTTTCTTAATCCATGATTATTGAAAAACCTATATGCATGATGATACATGAACAATACTGAAAGAAAAATATGTTCACTTTATGTCCTGATTTCTATTAGGTCAATAAATTCTTTCTGTGTAGAACATAAGAGAAAAGATTCATATCAACTCAGAGGGGAAAAAAGGCCTAAAAACCTAACAGGACAACTAGAAAACAAACATACACAAGTTACATTCAATCTGGTAAATACTGTAGACTCAGTGGCTGCTACCTACCATTCCTCGTTGAACATCTTCTCGTTTTAGGCCACGTAAAAGAAGACCCACATTGTCACCAGCCTTAAACCAACATATACATCAAAAAATGTTATAAAAGAAGAAAAAAGAAAAAAAAAACTTTGCAGCCTAGCATGTGTCTGAAATTAACTACTCACTTGTCCCTGATCTAAGATTTTCTTGAACATCTCAACACCGGTAACAGTAGTTTTCAGAGGGGTACCCTGCAAAAGAAATCTAACATTAGTAGCATATACTGGTTGAGCAAAGACAGACTAACCACAAACATCCAACAAGAATGATTCCCTTCTTAAGTTAGGAGTATCAAAAACAGAGAAAAAACTAATGACTCCTCCGAAATACAATCAAAGTTATAGAAGGAAATGCTTATTGAGATCATAGTACTAGGAGTCAAAAGTTTTTCGATATATTTACCTGCATTAATCCCAAAATTTCAACTTCTTCACCAACTTTAATGGTCCCTTGCTCAACACGACCGGTTGCAACAGTCCCACGTCCCTTCAAGACAGAAAGTATATGAGGATGTGTAATGCTTCAAAGGCAAGTCAAATAGGAATTTGGACAGACTTACTTTTTGGATGAGGACAGTGAGAGTTCACACAAGTACCAAAAGCAGAAGGAAAAAACCATTCCTTATTCAAGCAACCATGTATT